TGGCTGCTGGGGACCCCTGGATCCCTTGCAGAGGCCACTGTACCCCACTTACCTCCTAATTCTGCACACCCAATGGCTAGGTCTCCCTGAGGGGAAGGGCAGGAGGATGGACCTGTTCTTAGCCCTGTGCGTGATCCTGGAAACAAAGTGCTCATTACCAGGCGCTGATGGACAGGGAGGAATTTGCAGCTGAGGAAGGAGTGTGTGTGTGTGTGTGTGTGTGTGTGTGTGTGTGTGTTTGTGGGTAGAAGGGTGAGAAGTGCCAGAGGTCGAGAGAACTCTTAGGCCTTTTCATGAAGAGTAAAGGGGGACATGCTGGTTCCCATCCCCAACCACAGCAAATATATCTTTGTGATAAGGACAAATGGCACACTGAAGCTGTACACACACACACACACACACACACACTCCCTGGTCCCCACCCGATCAGAGATGCTGTCACTTCTATAGTCAGAAAGAGATGAAGCTAGTGAAAAAGTACGTCTGGATTTGGGTGTAATCCCTCTTGCCGTCCTCCTGGCCCTTGCCAATGCCCTCACTTCCTGTCTGGGATTGGTAATCCTTCCTGAGAGAGGACTGGAAATGGCGGGCAAATCGTGGGGGTGAGTGAGAATGCCTGTCTCCTCCTCAGAGCCTCCCAGGCTCGGTCAGATGTGTATTGAGAATCCTGATGCTCCAGGTCCCTCCCTGATGGGCTCCAGATGTGCTTACATCTGTGAAGACCATCCCAGGAAACTGAAGCTCCGGCCCACAGCTCCCACCCCGGAAGATCTCTCCTCCGGTTTCCAGGCCCTGGAGCCCAGGAGCTCCAGGCCCTCCTCTCCTCTCCCAAGGTAGGTCCATGGCCGCCAAGAGAGAAAAAGAACAGAGAGTAATGGGGGGGGGGGGGGGGGGGGGCCGAGCAAATCCAATGATGTCAGCGCTAGGACGCCCCAGAGAATCCTACTTCCTTTTTAACTTCCTATCTGGGATTGTTACATTCTATTGCCAAATTCTATTGCCAAGAAAGAAAACTAGAAAAACTGAAGAGGGTCTGGAAGAGCAGGCACTAGCTGGAGTAGGGGAAATTCCTTCTCATTGATCTGCTTGCTTTGGACCCCTGGGTCTTATAGATTTTTACCCCAGTGTCCCTAGCCCTGTCCCTCTCCAATCAGTGCCCTTCCCCTCATCCCTGTCCTGCCGTCCCTGCTTAGCTGAGCCCGGCCTGGAAAATCTCCCAGTTTGGTCCTTAGAGAGATAGCAGGGTCCCGGAGCACCCAGTGAGCCCAAGCAGCTCATCCCCCAGGCCTGATGTTGTCACCCTGGCGAACATCCTTCATCCTTCCCCCCTGTTCTCTGAGCAAAGTGGGGATGGGAAGGGGAGGGAGTTGGGGTTTATTTTAGGTCTGGGACATGGGGTCAGACAGGAAGTTTAAGTTCTGGCTGGTGACTCACATATGATGGAGCCATCAGTTTCTCCAGACTGAGACCTTGAGTCAGGGCAGCAACAGAACCCCAGGGTTCAAATGACCCACTCCTGTACTTTCCAATTACTCTCTCTTACACACACACACACACACACACACACACACACACACACGGCACTGCCCCAGCTTCAGCTGGCTCTGGACCCAGACTCCCGGGATAACTGGGCTCTTGTTCTCCTTCCAGGAATCCCCTTGCAGCTCTATAATCTTCCATTAGCAGCCCGCCCTCCTCCCTCTTCCCATTCATCACCCCACCACAGGGCAGGAGTGGGACCCCAGGCCCAGAGCCAGGAGCCACAAGCCAACAAGCCCCTCTGGCCCCTTTGTCCAGCCAACTCTTCCCAGCCTTTTTTGCGGCATCTCATACGGACGTATGATGTGTACAGTCCCCTGGGATAAGCAAGAGAGGTCGCTGTTGCCAGAAGCCACCAGCCCGGGGCCTTTGCCGGCTGCGGGGACTGAGGGGATGGACGAGATCTCAGCACACCTACACCCTATTTGTACAGCTACTACACCCCAGTTGGGAAGTTCAATTTCATGAAGATTTCACCCAGCTAATGCCACCCAGCCAGGCTTTTCACAGGCTCAACAAGGCCTATTCCTGAGAGCAAGACAGCCAGCTTCAGAATTTCCAGGCATTTGAGGATCTAAGAAGCAATCGAGCCTCAGTGCAGAGTAATCACGTACACACACACACACACACACATTTCCATCCGGTTTCAGAGGATGGATGGACTGTGCACCCAATTCTTTCCTCCACCCCACACTGGGAATGAGGGACCTGGGTTAAAAATCTCTGCTCCACAATATCCCCCCACCCCTATAGGAACCCAGCCTGGTTTAGGGGACTCAACTAGCAGTGCCTCGGGAAAAGCACCAGGCTTTGAAAGCCACTGGGAATGAACTTGGATTCCATCTCTGCCCCTTTACTTCTGTTGATCTCGGCGAGGCACTTCATTCTCTGGGACTCAGTTTCCCCACGGTAAAACGAAGATCATAACGTTTTTAGTGCTGGATAGTTGGGAAGATTAAAGGAGATAAAGGCAAGTTACAGGTCCAGGCCAGAGCCAGGCAGGTGGCACATGCTAAATAACGCTATTAATCCTCCCACCCTGTTGGAACTCAGCACGGCTCCTGGCTTCCGGATGTGCACCTCTATGGAAATGTCTATGGAAATTCACTCTCTGGTTCTGAAGCTCCAGCCACTGGGCAGGCAGGCTGGCCACAGCAGGAGCCTGGTGAGCGTCCCGCCCTTGCCCTGCACCCCTTCTGCTCCTCTGTCAAGCAGACCGTGATTAATCACAGTCTGTCACCACAGCAAATCATTCCTCCTGAGAGATGGAGAGACAGAGGTTACCAGAGAGGCCATGTCCTAGAAAGAAAGCAGAGACACTTGGGAGACGCACGGGCTGGGTCAGAGACAAGCTGAGAGATACACAAGACAGGAAAAAACTGAGAGACGATGGAGCCTCTTGAGGGCCATGCGCTGAGAGGAGAAGGCATTGGGCTTAGAGTCCAAACGCTTCCGTTCTAGACTCGCCACTGACTGGCCGGCCATGTGACCTTGGACCAGTCACTTTGTTCTACACCCACTTCCTCCTCCTGAAGCTGAGCTGGTGACCTCTAGGGACCCTCCTGGCTGACCTTCCCAGGCAGCTTCCAGCCCCGGAGGGCAATGCCGAAGCAGCTCCAGCTAGGAGGAAACCTGGAGTCCAGGCCTGGCCTGGAGCAGGCCTGGTGAGAGGGAAGGCAAGAGGTGTTGGGGCAACTGGGAGAGGACTTATAAGGGCAGAGAGAGCCAAGAGAGGAGGGATGCTGGGGAGAGTGGAGAAGCCAGCCAGAGAATGACTAAGGGGCTACCCGTGTAAACAGGAGCAAGGAATGGACAGGGAGGGGGCCTGTTTGAGTTGGCCAAGGCTGGGGGGCGGTGGAGCTGGGAAGAGGACTGGAGTAGGACGCTATGTCCCCTGTCCCCCACCAAGGCTCCTGGGAGGGGCTGAGTCACACACCTCCCTCCTCGCGCCCCTCCCCCCTCTGCCCCAAGCTCCTAGATCCTGGGAAAAGCTAAAGAGCCTGTGCCTAGGCCGAAAAGGAAGAGAACCGGGTTCCCACACGTGTGCTTTGCTGGACTGCACAGCAGCCAGGCCTCAGCTCCTCTCTTCCCAAAAGGGGCTCTCCGCCCTTGGCCTAGAGGTTTCTGCCTAGAGGTTATCTTTGTGGTGGGGCTGTGCCGAGGCTCCTGACCCAGAGGTTGCTTGCGTCCCTCACCTCAGAAAACGTCGGGACCTGCAGATGTGAGCGTGGGCTGGGGGCCAGCATCATCCTACAGTCTAACCGGCTGGCTTCTCCTTGGCTCTAGAGACGGGCTTTCAAAAAAGGGGGAGGGGGGAGGGGGGAAAAGCTGGGTGATCTGGGACAGAAAGTAGAGTAGCAGAACAAAACTCAAAGCGGAAGAAAAAGCACTGATTATGGGCACTTTTCTTTTGAGTCCCTGAGGGCAGAGGCCTGGGGAGCAGAGGGAGCGGGGCTTGATTCAGAGAATTATTGTTCTGGAGGGAAAAGAAGTCCTGGAGGGGACGGGCAGGAAAGGAGAAGAGGTTAGGAGAGGATCTAGGCCCCTAGGTCCCCCTCCCCCAGACTGAGATAAAGACTAGAATCCTGAAAGGTGATCTCATTACGCCGAGCCAGGCGTGGAGGAAGGGGTGGGCAGGGGGTCGCCGCCTCCCCTGGCTGCAGAGTTCCTTCCTCTACTTCCCCGGGGGATCTGGGAAGAATGGGGTGGCCCCTTTGCAAGATAACACCCCCCTCTGCCCCCACCCCACGCTGCCATTCTCCTGGTTTACAGGAGTCACGTGGGTCTTATCAAGAAGACCCGGAGGGGCCGTCACACCGCCCGCCCTATCACTCCCGGGCTCTCGGTCCACTGCCAGACTCCGGGACGGAGCTCCACAGAGGTTCCCCCACCCTACAACCAGGAAGGCTGTGACCGGGAGCGGAACCCTCCCGGTGGGGGACCCCAAACTCCGTGGAGTGACGGGCGGCAGAACTCGAGCAGCCCGCGGAGGCCCTCCGTCAGGTCGGGAGCGCTCTGTCCCTCGACTCCCGAGTCCCAAACCCGGCTGGCAGGCGCCCCGGCACCCGGTGGCCCCGGAAAGGCAGGGGGAATCCCAGCTGGCCGGGTGCCAGAGGTGTCTCCTGTCCCTCTCGACCCCAGAGTCTCCTCCCTGAAGGAGTGGGGGCGACCCCACACACACACACGGCCTCCCTCCGCCCTCCAGAGGTGATTCTTTCCCTCATTAGGAAATTCTCGGCTCCCTTTTTCCGAGTCCTTTTCCGAGCGTTTACGTTGTACATCTGGAAAGGAGGGGGGAGGGAGGAGGGGGACGCCGAGGGAGGAGGGCGCAGAGCCCAATCCCGCCCAGTCTGACCCAGTCCAAGCCGCCGGCCTCCAGCTGGGGCAGGGAGAGGGGAGCGCAGAGGTGCACCCCCCCCCCCTCACGCCCCTTCGGGGTGCGGGGCTCGGGTTCGGCGTCCCAGGGACCCAGGAATGCCCCCCCGCCCACCCCCTCGGCGGGCGGGGGCAGGGCCCAGCCGGGAGTTTGGCAAACTCCTCCCCGCGTTGAGTCATTCGCCTCTGGGAGGTTTAGGAAGCGGCTCCGGGTCGGTGGCCCCAGGACAGGGGAGAGCGGGCGCGATGGGGAGCCGGGCGCCAGGGTCCCCGCTCCTCGCCGGGCGGCCGCGCCGGGGCCCCCGGCACCGACCCGCGCCGCTGCCGCTGCTGCTGCCGCTGCTGCTGCTGCTGCCGCCCGCGCCCCGGGCCGGGGGCTTCAACCTGGACGCCGAGGCCCCGGCCGTGCTCGCCGGGCCCCCCGGCTCCTTCTTCGGCTTCTCCGTGGAGTTCTACCGGCCGGGGACGGACGGGTGAGCGGGGAGGGCTGGCGGCGGGCTGGAGGGGGAAAGGGGGGCGCCTGGAAGCGGGGGCGCGGCTGAGTCTGGCGGCTCCGGGGCTGCGCGGGGAGGCGGAGTTTGGAAGCGCTGGGGCTGGAGTCGGGGGCCCGCGCCGAAGTTGGGGGCCTGCGCGGGACTAGGGAGGAGACAGGGGCCGGCGTGGAGGGGGCCTGGGGTGGAGATGAGCGGGGAGGCGTGTGCGGGGTGCGGGGTGGGGAGCGGACACGACGCCGGAGCCCGGGGAAGTCCGGGCGGGGGACCCGGGGCCAAGGCGGAGGCGGCGCGGGGACGGAGAGCGGGGTCTCGGGCCGGGACCCCGGCGGGCGCGGGCGCACAGGGGGCACGGGGGCCGGGAAGGGCTTTTCGGGCCGCTGGGGGACCCCAGGCCCCCGAGGGCCATTGTGCGGGTTGGAAGCCGGTGGAAGCGGAACGAGCTGTGTGCGGGGAGAGGGGAGCCGGAGGCTGGGAGGGCCCAGAGGTTACACGGGGGCCAGCCCCATCCTCCCCTCCCCCCCAACTCAGACCCGGAGAGACCCGGGAGGGGACGGCGGCTCTTCCCTTTCTCCTCGGGCTCCTACTCCGCCTCCACCCGCAGCCTCTGCTCTGCCGGGGGGTCCCGGACCTCGGGGAGGGTGCGGGGACCCGGGCGCGAGGGGCGCCGGGGCGGGGGGCGGGGGCGCGGATGTGTCCGCCGGGAGGGGTGTGTGCGCGCCCGAGGGGGGCGGGCGGCTTCCCTCTTCCCCGGCTCCGGGAGGAAGAGAAAAGCTGGTTTCCTGTAGCCTGTGGGCTGGAACTGGACGGAGGCCGGAATTCTGGGGCTGGGGTCGGAGGCCGGGGAGGCGCGGGCTGGCGGGGCCCAGGAGCGGCAGACTCGGGGGGCATCGGAGGTGGGGGGAGGCTCACAGGAGGACCCCCACTCCCCGCTCAGCGGGGCGACCGTAGGCCGGACCCCGAGAGCCCAGGGAGTGGGGAGGCATGGGGAGACCGAAGTTGGAGCAGAGGCCACGCTGGAACCAGGGTTTCCATTGAAATGTCCGGGGCTGGGGAGAGGGGAGGTGGCTGTTCCCGGCAGCATCCAGGGGCTCCCAGATGCCGGATTCCTGGTCCTCCACAGTGACCTCCACCCTGCCCTCTGGGCTCTGAGCCTCCCACGCGCCCCCCTTCTTTCTCTCCCCCCACCCCCATCACACCCGGGGTTTGATAGGACTCTGCCGGAGGGGAGCTGGTTTTACACCTGATACAGTTAACTGATCGCCACTCCTTTAATTTTTGGAGAAAAGGATTACTCCAGCTATTTCAGTTGTGGAGGGGGGGTTGGGGGCCGCGGGGGGTAAGTTTCTCTATTGTCTGGAGAGGATGTGGGAAATGGAAAAAAGATAGTTAGGCCCTAGCTGCTGGTTCTGGGCTATTCAAGGTCCCCACCCAGCCCCCACCCCACCCCCCTGGCCTCTTGCCCAAACCCCATTGCATCACCCTGGCCTGGAACCTCTGCCAGACCTGGCCTCCCCAAGGCCCCCTGAAATGCCGCTACCTCAGCCCTACTGGAGGCACGCAGAGGAAGGGAAGGAGAGGTGGGGACCCTCCCAAGTATCTGGGTAACCTTCCCCTTCCCCTGCCCCACACCTCCCCCTTTCCAGAGAGTCCTCAAACACCTGGACCTGCACATTCTTCTGGTTCGCGAAAGGCAATGGGGAAAATACCCTTTGGTGGGTTTTAAAGATCTGCCTCCTGGCCAGTCTGCGTGGCCCCTGGCCTGACCCCCAGTCCCTAAAGCCCCTTCTCAGACAGGACCCAGCATTCTCACCCCTCCCCTCCCCCTTCCCGCCATCTTTCCTCCCGAGAGAGCCAGGTGTCTGGCTTGCACGCCCCCTCTCCTTTCTCTTTACAATACCCTCTTAGAGGGGGACTCCGCACATTCCACCTCCCAGTGATCAACTCCACCCCCTCCTCCACCCAGGGCCCCAGCAGAGCCCTCGCCTGGGGCCATGGCTGTGTTCTTGGTCCCTCTGCATCCTCTCACCCCGGGCATCAAACAGCATCCGAGGGCCGGATGAGCACCTGGGAGTCTGCCTGGGAGGCAAGGGCCAAGCCTTCAGTCGGGCCGCACTGGGTGTGCACCGGGCCCCACCGCTCGCTCTGGGTGTGACCGGGGCCTGGTGCTTAAGGCCCTCCAGCCTGGGGTTCTTATGACAGTCAGACACCCGACTTCTGAGGCCGTTCTGAGGACTAAATGAGACGATACAGATAAAGGCGCCTGGCCCCTAGAGGGTGATCAATACCTGGCAGGCCTGATTGGAATGAGGTAGCTGTTTTTCTGTCTCTGCTTCTCTCCTCCCTAGATACCACCTAGCTCTATTTCCAAGTTTTCTCTCATTTCTTATTTGCTTTTAATATTTGCTTGTAGCAGTTTTAGTACTAATAGTCCCTCGCATTCCTTAGCACTTTCATATCAGTTTTTCCATTGGATCATTACAAGATCTTTGTATTAGGCAGAGGAGGCATTACTGCTCCATCAAATATAATATATATATATATATATATATATATATATATATATATATACACACACACACACACACACACATACACACACATCAGGAGTTATAGAGGTTTAGAACTAGAATTTGTTTTAGGGACCATTCAAGAGCAACCCATCACTTTATGGGTAGAGAATCCAAGGCTTGGCGAAGGAAGTGACTTGGCCTAGGACACAGACTTAAAGGTGCACTGCCTTCGTCCAGCTCTTTATTCCCTCCGACACTTAGTTGGCAGAGGCAGAGGACACTCTCCCGCCCGGCCAGCCAGGCACTTTCTTAGAGTCACTGCAGGACCCAGAGCCATGCGTCCTCTGGCCTGGCCAGGGCCGCTGAGGGACTGCAGGGCCTGGGCCCTGGCCCACTTGCTTCTGCCCGCCCCCAACCTTGTCAGGCCAACAGAGTGAAACAGTAACCATCTATTGAACAGGATCTTGGTTAATCAGAAGCCTGGCCGGGGAGATAGTGGAGAGAAGAGGAGATAAACTGGCCACAGGGCAAGCCAGAACCCCGGCCTAGGAATCGGTATTCCTAGCTTCCGGTTCTTACGTGCAGAAGGATTCAGAGTGACCCTGGACATGTTACTTCGCTTTTGTGGGACTAAGTTTTCCCATGGGACTCAGTCAGCAGGTATTTTTAATTGAAGTTTTTTTCTTTCCTTTTTTAAAATCTCAAATGATATCTTACCAGGACATTCTATATAAAAAGGGGAAAGAGGTTGCCCTAAAGCAGTGGTTCCCAACCTTCCTGATGCCGGGACCCTTTAATACAGCTCCTCCTGTTGTGGTGACCCCCAACCATAAAGTTATTTTCGTTGCTCCGTCATAACTGAATTTTGCTACTGTTAGGAATTGTAATGTAAATATCGTGACCCACAGGTTTAGATGGTTTTCCTAAGACCATCAGAAAACACAGATATTTACATTACAATTCATAACAGTAGCAAAATTACAGTTATGACGTAGCAACGAGAATAATTTTATGGTTGGGGGTCACACGACATGAGGAACTGTACTAAAGGGCCCCGGCATTAGGAAGGTTGAGAACCGCTGCCCTAAAGGGAGATGAGGAGTGTCAGACCAAACCAGCTCCTGAGTCCGCGCGGGCGGCAGCCCTGAGGCATCTACAAGGAAGCCCTCACGCCAGGGGCTGCCCTCGCCGTGCCTTCCCGCGGTGGCAGCGTGTCTCCAGGAACCAACTCTGGAGTTCCGGGGTTCTAAGGCTTCAAAGTAAGTGATGGCAATTATTTCCTCCCTTGAACTCCATATTTTAGAAGGGATTAACTGCCCAACTGCATTTATTTATTTTTATTTTTATTTTTAAAATATATTTTATTGTCTTTTTACAGAGAGGAAAGGAGAGGGAAAGAGAGTTAGAAACATTGATGAGAGAGAAACGTCGATCAGCTGCCTCTTGCACACCTCCTACTGGGGATGTGCCTGCAACCAAGGTACATGCCCTTGACAGGGATCGAACCTGGGACCTTTCAGTCCGCAGGCAGACGCTCTATCCACTGAGCCAAACCGGTGAGGGCATGCCCAACTGCATGTAGTAAGAAATCATGAATTCCTTTTTCTCATTTTGTATCAGCTGGCAGTGAGAACAAGAAGACATCTAGAGCTGCCAGTCAGAGCTTGTGACCAACGTGAGATAGTCAGGCTCTCTACGAGAGTTGATGTAATCCCAGCCAAAAGTAAATGTACTTGAGGCTTTAATTAGCCTGGGCTGCCTTATCAGGTAAATGCATGTTCCCATGAGGCTTTCTGAAAAATTGGAAATAACCCAGAGCGCCTGGCCGGTGTGGGTCAGTGGTTATAGAGCACCGAAGGGTCTGGGGTTCGATTCCCGGTCAGGAGCACGGGCCTGGGTTGCAGGTTTGGTCCTTGGCCCTGGCTGGGGCGCATGCTGGAGGCAACCAACCGAAGTTTCTCTCTCACCTCAGTGTTTCTCTGTCTCCCTCCTCCCCTCCCTCACTTCCACTCTTTCTGAACAGCAATGGGAAGAATGTCCTTTGGTGAGGTTTTTAAAAGATAAAGAAAATAGCCCAAGGGCCTTCCATTGTTACCTTCTTGGACCCCTAAGGGGGCCCAACTAGTCCAGGATCTAGGAAGTAGGAAGTAGAAGTGGGAAAATAAGGATAAGCTATGTGAAGTGCCATCCCTGACATCAGGTGTCACAGGCAGGGACACTAGTTAGTAGACTGACTCAGAGGAACTGGGTCAGAAGGGCCACTGAACCCTTGGGTATGAGCCGTGGGTGGCGGAGGCAGGTCTGGATCGGAGTCGGTGTCCCTTACCTGCCATGCCGGATCTGCTAACCCTTCCTACACATGCCCCTGGCCCCCGAGCTCGGGGGCTTTACCATCTCTGTAAGGTCTCTCTCTCACCTCCCAACCCTCTCAGACAAACTCCAGGCTTCTTCCTAGGGCCAGGCCAGAGCCGAGCGGGGGTGTGGTAAAAATTGGGAGTGGGCCCTCGCTGGTTTGGCTCAGTGGCTAGAACATCAGCCTTCGGACTGAAGGGTCCCAGGTTCGATTCCGGTCGAGGGCACATGCCCAGTTGCAGGCTCCATCCCCAGTGGGGGGGGCGTGCAGGAGGCAGCCAATCAGTGATTCTCTCTCACCATTGATGTTTCCATCTCTCCCTGCCCTTTCCTCTCTGAAATCGATAAAAATATATATATTTTTAAAAATCGGGAGAACCAGGTCCTTTAGCCACAGCCTAGTGTCCTCCTGGAAATAGACTATCAGAACTCCCCGAGGCCGACAGAACCTCCGCGCCAGAGAGAGGGGAAGAGTATGGCCCACGCCACACTGAGCTAGTGCCTGCCCCTCGTCAGTGCTGATCCTGGGCCAGGGCGCTTTTCTTGGGGAAAAAAAGGTTTTTTTTAATTGATTTCAGAGAAGAAGGGAGAGGGGGAGGGGGGAGAGAGAAACATCAATGATGAGAGAGAATCACTGATCTCCTGCCTCCTGAACACCTCACACAGGATGGAGCCTGTAACGGGGCATGTGTCCTGACCAGGAATCAGACTGTGGCCTCCTGGCTCATAGGTCGACACTCAGCCCCTAAACCACACCAGCCACGCCGGTCAGCGCTCTCTTCACTGCCTCCTGTCCCACAGCTTTCCTGGGGCTGCCCCAGCTAGGGGAGGGCTGTACCCCTGTCTGCTGGCCCCGCCCGAGGACAATGCAACCTCACCCACCACCTGCCTTACCTCCTGGGCCTGGTCACTGGCCAGGCCGCCGCCCGTCGCCCACCCCCGGCGTCGCCCACCCTCGGCAGCATGTGGTGCCTGAGTGCAGAGGGTGGGGCCCAGCTGGTGGGAGACAAACGGAGAAGTGAGAGGTTGGAAACGGACAGGAAGCCACAGGCAGTAAACATTTCCTGTCCCCAGAGTAACTAAGGCTGGCACCCCGCCCCCCATCACTCCAGGAACTCTCTCACTCTCAGCACACACACACCCCCCCCCCCATTCCCCGGGACCCTGGCCTCTCCCTCCATTCTCATCCTCTGGCCTGCTCGCTCCCCACGCCCAGTCCCTGGGAGCTGTCTCCTCTGTGGCTGCCACCTCCTATTTCTGTAGGACCCCACCCCTTTCACGCCCTCCCCACCCGTCCCTCTTGGAAGGCAAACCCGGCATCTGTGACCTCTCACACAATCCCCACATGGATGCTCTTTCCTGGTAAAGGCTGACGGAAGTATCCCACTAGCAGGAAGGAGTGGGTATGGGAATGCTGAGGCGGGAAGGGGATGGGAATCACCCGAGATGGAGAAGCCTAAGATCTGAGATCAAGAGAGAGAAAACTCCAACATGGAAACCAAGAGAGCCAGCAGTCCTGGGGCGGAGGCAGGTACGGGAGGAGAGCAGAGGCCACGGCGTGCAGGGACCCTGGCCCGGGCCCGGGCCCGGGGCCAGCCCGGTTGTCAGATGCTGTCCTCACGGAGGGTCCTGGAGGAGAACGCCAAGAAGACTGGCTGCTGAGCAGAAGCCTCCGAGGCAAGGGACCAAGAAATGGCAGAGACAGAGCCAAAGACGGGAAGATTATCCAGGACCTTAACTATGACCACCCCGGTACCTAGGTCCCTCAGCAAAGGCAACCCTCTCCTCGGGGTTTGGGGGGGCCTGGGGGACGGTGTCTGGGACTAAGACTCCAGTACGGCAGGCTCCGAACTCAGGCTCCCAGAGACGGCGTGTGGAGAAGGGCTCAGAGATAAAGCCCCAGCCCCAGCGGGGAGGTCCAGGCCAGAGCCGAGGAGAAGGCAGGCCCACGCCCAGGGGAACGCTCTGTTTCACCACCGTCCAGCTCCTCTCCACTCCTGCTGCCTGATTTCCAAGACTCACATTTTCCCCCTACACGCCCCAGGGCTGGGCGGCTGGACCGCGGGGCAGCCGGATGCCTGGGTCTCGGCCCAGGAAAGGCTTTGGCTTGGGACAAGAGGGCACGGGCGAGGTGCGAGGACCTGGCTTCCGGAGGCTGCACCTCCAGCCCTGGCAGGTCCGGAGAGGGATGGAGACGCTGAGGCCAGCACCTCTGGCCCCTCTCTCCCTTCCCAGGACAGACTCTGGCTCCTCTCTCTAACGACTGGGGAAGAAGGTAGAGGAGGAGGAGGGGAGGGGTTGTGTTAGTGACAGCGGCACATGGGGACCGCCTGACTCCAGCCTGTGCCTCTGGCATCTGTGGCATCTTCTGAGATATAAATACAACGCAGGGGGCACCCACCCCACCCCAGCCAGCCCCTGGCCCGGAGGCCTGGGTCCTTCCTGTCTTGGGAAACTGAAGAAGGGCCAGGAGCCCCCCTGAACCGCTTCTCCGTCCCCCTCACAGGGTCAGCGTGCTGGTGGGAGCGCCCAAGGCGAACACCAGCCAGCCAGGCGTGCTGCAGGGCGGCGCTGTCTACCTCTGCCCCTGGGCCACCAGCCTGGCACAGTGCACCCCTATTGTGTTTGACAGCAAAGGTAACCAACCCCCTGGGAAGGTCTGGAGGGCCTGGGGGTGGGGCCCGGGGAGAAGGGGAGAGCCTGCCCAGCTCCCTGGCCACACGCCCTCCCTGCTCTGACGGCGGTGCCCGCTCTGTGCAGCGAACAGCGAGCAGCGCACAGCGGCCCCGTGGCACTCGCCCCACGTTCCCAGCCCAGCCCAGCCCGAGGAGGGCGGGCATGATTCAGAAACATGTGGCTCTCATTTCCCCTGAATCACCCACAACTCAGGGAGGCCAGTAACGCAGACAAAGACTGGGAGAGTCACACAGGCGGTTTGGTTCGTTTAGCCGAGCACTGACTAAGGGATGGTGCTCGCCTGGCGCTGTGCTGGGGCTGCGGGGGTCCAGGCCTCTGCCCTCCGTGGGCTCCCGGCCCAGGGTGGATGCAGGGATGGGGGCGGGGGAGGGCGGCGGAGACAGACGGAGGCCAGAGATAAACAGGAACAACAGCTAACCCTTCAGGAGCACTTGCTCTGTGCCCAGCGCCGCTATAAGCACTTTATAAATATTAACGCACTTAATCCTTCCAACAACTGTGCAAGATATTATTATCCCCATTTCAGAGCTGAGGAAGTAGAGGTTAAGTAACGCGCTCAAGGTCACACAACCAGTGAATGGTGGCGTAAGGATGTGCCTGCTGAGCTATATCTGGCTTCGGGGACAGAAAGCGGAGCTGGTGCCTAAGCAGATGGAGACGGTGGGGGGTGGGGGATGAGATCACGAAACAGATGGGTGTTTTGTTTGTTTTTTAACCTGAAAGACAGGTAAGAGTCAGAGGAATGAGAAAGGATGTCCTGTGTGAGGTACATATCCGTGCCCCATGGGCACAGACAAGGTGTGGGGAAGCCGGAAGGGGTCCATGGGGCAGCAGCCCAGAGATGTGAGAACGATCGAGAAGAGAACAAGGTGCTTAGCGATGCAGTCCAGGTTCAGACAGAGAAGTGCAGCCACTTCTTCCCCCACTGCCTCCCGCCCCAACCTCCCTGCAAGCATCCTTGGCCAGCCGGGCCAGAGCCAGGCTGCTCCAGAACCCCAGGTGGGCGCATAGCGGAGGGTGAGGCGGGCCACAGCGAGCAGAGTCTGCAGACCCTCTGTCCTTGCCCCCAGGACGTCCTGGGCTTTAGGCTCGCAGTGCTGGGGCGCCCCCGGCTGAGGGCAGGGGCTGTGCCGGGCTCGGTGGCCCACGACCCGCCTGACGCCCTCTCTCCCTCCCCCAAGGCTCTCGGGTCCTGGAGTCCTCGCTGTCCAGCCCGGAGGGGGAGGAGCCCGTGGAGTACAAGTCCTTCCAGTGGTTCGGAGCCACGGTGCGAGCCCACGGCTCCTCCATCCTGGTGAGGGGCCCGCAGGCTGGGGGGCGGGGGGTGGTCGGGCTCCATGGGACACAGGCCCGGGGTGGGCGGGAGAGGGTTTCCTTGGTCTAACCCTAAGGCTCCCTCCTCCCGGGCCCTCCCAGGCCTGCGCCCCGCTGTACAGCTGGCGCACCGAGAAGGAGCCGCTGAGCGACCCCGTGGGCACCTGCTACCTCTCCACCGACAACTTCACCCGGATGCTGGAGTACGCTCCCTGCCGCTCAGGTAGGCCGGGGTGGCCTGCGCCCCGCCCGCCCTCTCTGTCCGAGTCCCTAAACCCGCCCCTTCCGCAGGGTCCTCTCCCACCCCCTTCCCCAAGCTCTCTCCTTTCCTGCGTGGCCCGTGGGCATGGGCCTCCCTCCCACCGCCTTCTCCCCCACAGATTTCAGCTGGGCGGCCGGCCAGGGGTACTGCCAAGGCGGCTTCAGTGCCGAGTTCACCAAGGTGAGCCAGCAGGTGACCTGGGAGGGACGTGGCCGTGAGGGGTGGGCCCGGGGGATTGGGACCACAGGTAGACTCGCCTCCTCCCCCCCACAGACCGGGCGTGTGGTGCTGGGTGGACCCGGGAGCTATTTCTGGCAAGGTAAGTCCTGCTGTGCTGACTCCCAGGCCCTGGCCCAGGCCCCGTCCTTCCCCCCTCCCCCCAGCCTGAGCTCACCAGCCCCCCTCCTGCGGGCCGTCCCAGTCCTCCTCTCCCTTTGTGGAGACTCGTGTGTCCTCCTCTGCCACCCTGTCCAAGCCGGCCTTCCTGGAGCCAGACTTCTGAGATCCCACCCAGTCTAAGGTGACCAGATGTCCCACTTTGGGCGGGACCGTCCCGATTTTTAACAATTTGTCCCGCGTCCCCCGGCGTTTTAATCGTTAAAAATCGGGACGTCTGGTCACCTTAACCCGGGCACACCCACCCCCGGTCCTCTCCTCCCTGCTCGTCCTCCTCCATTCCCTCTCCTCCTCGTCCCCTGCCCAGGCCAGATCCTGTCGGCCACCCAGGAGCAGATTGCAGGGTCCTACTACCCCGAGTACCTCATCAACCTGGTGCAGGGGCAGCTGCAGACGCGCCAGGCCAGCTCCTCCTACGACGACAGCTACCTGGGTGAGCGAGCCGGTGGGAGGAAGCCGGGGCCGCCCCAGGCGCCCCGACCTGCCCTCACACACTCCCCGCTTCCTCTCCTCCCACGCGGGCATCCCCAGCCCCGCTGTCATGCCTGTTGTGTGCCCGCTGACCGTGAGGGCCTGCAGGGGTGGGGGGCGGGTGGGAGATGGGCCTGGGCAGAGGGGTCCCCGAAGCAAGAATACTAATGCCCATCCCCCCTGGCCCCCAGGTTACTCGGTGGCCGTGGGTGAATTCAGTGGTGATGACACAGAGGGTGAGTGTGTCCCCAGGCTCGGGCGGGGGTGGAACTGAGACACTGACCATTCCTGGGGATTCCTTGTTTCCCACATTAGTCCACAACTTTCTCTCCTCTCTGCAGACTTCGTTGCTGGCGTGCCAAAAGGAAACCTCACCTACGGTTATGTAAGACCTGCCTGACACTCCCTTCCTCTCCTTCCCCCTCTCCCCGGGCCTCCCACCCGCTGAACACAAAAACATGTGCCCTAGCTCAGTGGTCGGCAAACTCGTTAGTCAACAGAGCCAAGTATCAACAGTACAACGACTGACATTTCGTTTGAGAGCCGAAAACCGACGCCTGAGCATGGGCCACAAAGTTTCAATCGCATTGTACGCGCGCGCCTGCATGTGGCAAGAGCCACACTCAAGGCGCCAAAGAGCCGCAGTTTGCCGACCACTGACCTAGATTAGGGGTGTCGAACTCAATCAGAGAAGGGGCCAAAATCTAAAATCCAGCCTAAATCTCGGGCCGAATGGTTTACTGAACAGTCATAAACTGTCATTGTGATGGAAACGCAGCGGAGTGCAGTGATGACAGCGCGGTGCGGGCCACATTGCAAGGCCTGGCGGGACGGATTTGGCCCGCGGGCCTTGTGTTTGACACATGTGACCTAGATGGTTTGCTCAGCGTATAGAGTGTGGGCCCCATTCTAAAGGGTCCCGGGTTCCATTCGGGCACTGCTCTGGGAGCATGCGGGAGGCAAGCCATCGATGTGTCTCACAGTGAAGTTTCTCTCTGTTACCCCCCTCCCTTCCACCATCTCTAAAAATTAATGGGGTCATATCCTCATGTGAAGATTTAAAAAAAACAACACAAAAAACACGCGGGTCATTTTGTGAGAATTCCGAAGGTGGATGAGAACATGGGCTCTGGGGTCAGACCTGTATTCAAGTTCTGGCACTTACTCTAGCAGGCGTCTTCAAACTACGGCCCGCGGGCCACATGCGGCCCGCAGAGGAGTCTGATCCGGCCCGCCAGGTTTTTTGGGCAGTGAGCGCAGCCGAGGTGTTACAGTAGGAATTAGTAGTTCATATAGTCCGGCCCTCCAGCTCTCTGAGGGACTGTGATCTGGCCCCCACTTTAAAAAGTTTGAGGACCCCTGTTTTGCATCCTTCTGTTATTTTTTAATATATCTTATTGATTTTTTACAGAGAGGAAGGGAGAGGGATAGAGAGCTAGAAACATCAGTGAGAGAGAAACATCAATCAGCTGCCTCCTGAACACCCCCTACTGTTGTGGATGTGCCCACAACCAAGGTACATGCCCTTGACCAGAATCGAACCTGGGACCCTTCAGCCCACAGGCCGACTCGCTATCCACTGAGCCAAACCGGTTTTGGCTCCTTCTGTTATTTTTATTTATTCACATTCTACTTCATTCTGTAAATTCTTGAGCCTCCTTACCCTCTCTGAGCCTCATTCTCCTCTGCAGAATGGGATAATAATAGTTCTGACTTCAGGGCTCTCGCAAGGATGAAATGAGGTCATGCTTGTGGGAGCGCTCAGTGGCCTGTTGAGCAGTGTACAACTGGTAGCTGTTATTATTAGACCATGACAAGTGCTTTAAAAAGGTTACAGATAAGGCTGCCGTAGGAGTTTGTTCAATTAACATTTACTAAAGCAAGGTAAGAGATAAGAAGACGAATAAGACATCACACCTCATCTCATAAGGTGCCTCTGATCCGCGAGGCAGGATAAGACACATGTAATTACAACCCAAGGGGCAGCTGCTGTTCAGCGCCCCTCAGTGAGTGGCACAGTCCACCGGTGATTTCTGTTCCGTTCCAGCCGCTGGGGGAGGGTGTTAGCATGCGCCGTTTAAGGTCACACAGTTAGAGAGCGGCCGGATAGAGATTTAAAAGCAGGTCTGTCTTACTCCAAAGTCCGCGTTCTCGCACCGCGGTCAGTTTCAGGAAGCGGGTTCCGCGGTTATCAGGTCAGGGAGAGGAACAGCCTCCTTCCCAGGCAGGGGTGCATCGGAGAAGGTTCGTGAAGGGTCAGTGGAGATGAGGCGAGAGAGCATCCTAGGCGGGAGAAATGCAGGGGGGAAAGGGGGAAAGTCAGGCCCGTTTAGCAGGCTCCTGGGCTGAGGAGGAGGAAGGGTTGAGCAGAAGCAGACAGGCTGGGGCCAGTTCTCCAGAGCCTCAAGAAGTCCAGGCTTGGATAGTGGCTGCAGGGAACCACTGTGGGTTGTTTTTTATGTGTGTGTGTCTTTAAATCTTCACCCAATGGAAAAGAGGAGGGGGGGGGGGTACGGGAAGAGACTGGACATAAACTGTGCACCTATGGATGAGGACAGTGGGGGGTGGGGAAAGGGCAGAGGGTGGGGCGGGAACCTGGTGGAGGGGGGAAGAAATGAGGAACTTTTGTAATAATATGAACAGTAAAGGTTTATTTAAAATAAAATAAAAAAGAAAGAAAGAAATCACCCAAGGATATGTGTTTATTGATTTTTAAAGAGAGAGGAGGGAGTGGGGAGTGAGAGAGAGAGAAGCAACAGTCAGTTGCCTGGACTGGGGATCAAACCACTACCTTTTGGTATATGGGACAATGCTCCACCAACTGAGCCACCGGCCCGGACACTGCTGTGGGTTTTCCAGCTGGCCGGGGGCGGGGTGGGGGGGGAGGGGAGTGGGGGGGTCCCTCCTGGTTCTGCTGCAGGGGAAAGGGTGCTGAGGAAGGGAGCCTGAGGCAGGGAGGCGGGCAGGAGGCTCTCCAGCCTTCCTGTGAGAGGACTCTGAGCAGAGAGCGGGGAAGAGAGCAAGGAATCAGAAGACTTGGTGACGGACAGGGCCAGCCCCTCAGAGGGGACGTGGGGAAGATGCGGGTGTGGCTTGGGAGAGCTGGAGGAGGAAGAATGAGTGTGGTCATTCAGCAATGACTGATTCTCTACGACTTTAGGCTCTTGGGAGAAAGCAAAGAACAAAACCGAGCTCCTGCCTGCATTGATCTTCCACTCTAGTGGGTAGACATGGGCAATCGACAGATGGATATTCGATCTGACAGTCGTTGATAAGTGATAGGGAGAACAACGTCGCTGAGGGACTGAGCTACTGGCATAGAAATAGGGATGTGAGGGCAAAGCGCAGGAGGGAATTAGGGGACAAACAGTCTGTGCCTCCAAGGAATGCCTGCCTTTGGGTTGTCTGTGCACATCTGCCCTCCGGCCCGGGGCTGGGAGTCCAGGGCCAATGGGCATCTCTCCTCGTTCCTAGGTCACCATCCTCAATGGCTCAGACATCCGATCCCTCTACAACTTCTCAGGGGAACAGGTGAGGACACCCCGCACCCCAGCCCAGTGTGGCCCTCTGCCCCCCGCCAAGCCCCAGCTCTGACCCAGTGAAATCAGCCCCCTTCTCCCTGGAGTCTCTGCCCTCCCTCCATAGCCCCTGTGGATTCTAGTTCTGACCCAGCGCTGCTCCTCTGTCCTCCCAGATGGCCTCCTACTACGGCTACGCAGTGGCTGCCACGGACACCAACGGGGACGGGTGAGTAGCGGGAAGCGGCAGGCACACCATGACGCCCTCCCGGGAAGAAAGAATGGGGACAGGAAAACACAGGAGCGTTTCCCTCCAGGCTTCTCCCCTGGGCTCTCCCTGTCCTCACATCCCTTTGCCGAGGGCAGTGGTGGGCAAACTCATTAGTCAACAGAGTCCAATATATATTTTTTTTAATATATTTATTGATTTTTTACAGAGAGGAAGGGGGAGAGAGAGATAGAGAGCTAGACACGTCGATGAGAGAGAAACATCGACCAGCTGCCTCCTGCACACCCCCTACTGGGGATGTGCCCGCAACCCATGTACATGCCCCTGACCGGAATCGAACCCGGGACCTTTCAGTCCGCAGACCGACGCTCTATCCACTGAGCCAAACCGGCTTGGGCCAGAGCCCAATATCCACAGCACAGCAATTGACATTTCTTTGGAGAGCCAGATGTTTTAAACGGAAACTTCTTCTAACGCCACTTCTTCAAAATAGACTCGCCCAGGCCGTGGTATTTTGTGGAGGAGCCACACTCAAGGGGCCAAAGAGCCGCATGTGGCTCAAGAGCCGCAGTTTGCTGACCACGGGCCGGAGCACTAAGACCAGAAGGCCTCAGCGCTTCTCGCTCGGGCGGGAGGGAGCCTGGGGTGCAGGATGCTGGGAGTTCCTGGCCCTGGACCGGGGCGGGGAGGTGGCCAGGCAGGGTGTCAGGATGAGGCCTAGACGGTTCCCCTGCCCCCAGGCTGGATGACCTGCTGGTGGGAGCACCGCTGCTCATGGAGCGGACAGCCGACGGGCGGCTCCAGGAGGTGGGCAGGGTCTACATCTACCTGCAGCAGCCGGCCGGCATGGAGCCCACGCCCTCCCTCACCCTCACCGGCCGCGATGAGTTTGGCCGGTTTGGAAGCTCCTTGACCCCCCTGGGGGACCTGGACCAAGATGGCTACAACGGTAAGTGCAAAGAGCCGAGGAGGAGTCGAGGGTCAGGAGGGGTTTAGAGAGAGAGTGGCTGGGATCCCCAGACCCCCAGCGTCTTCCCACGATGTGGCTTTGAAGAAATGGGAATATTGGGGGCGACGGCGGGGGTTGGGGAGGGATAGGGGACTGGGGCCTGGGTTTGGTGGTAAAGGTCTGAACTCTTGGATGTGGGCCTGCTGACTGGTGTGTGCTGTGTGTCTTGCAGATGTGGCCATCGGGGCTCCCTTTGGCGGGGAGACCCAGCAGGGCGTGGTCTTTGTGTTTCCGGGGAGCCCTGTGGGGCTGGGCTCTAAGCCTTCCCAGGTGCTGCTGCCCCTCTGGGCCGCTGGCCACACTCCCAACTTCTTTGGCTCTGCCCTTCGAGGGGGCCGAGACCTGGATGGCAACGGATACCCCGGTGAGTGTGCTTCCCTAGGCCCTGTTCCACTTACAGTTCCCTGGGCGCTGGCCCCCTTACCCCCCTCTGCCCTTTCCTCAGGTCCTTGGGTGCACTTCTGGGGTACTGCCACCAGGTGGCGATGTCCCCTCACTTCGGCCTCCTCGAGCCATGAAACTAGAAGGGTTGGAAAGGAAGGATCCTAATTGGGGGGCTTTCTGTAAAGGGTAGTTTCTTTTTCTTTTTTTAATTTTTAAACATATTTCATTGATTTTTTTACAGAGGAAGGGAGAGGGATAGAGAGTTAGAAACATGGATGAGAGAGAAACATAAATCAGCTGCCTCCTGCACACCCGCTACTGGTGCATGCCCTTGGCTGGAATCAAACCTGGGACCCTCCAGTCCACAGGCCAACGCTCTATCCACTGAGCCAAACTGGTCAGGGCTAAAGGGTAGTTTCTTGCTTCTTGCAGATCTGATTGTGGGGTCCTTTGGTGTGGACAAGGCGGTGGTGTACAGGTACGGACTCCAGGGTGGCAGCCCGGGAGGAGTGGGAACGGGCGTTCCTCCAGAAGGCTGAGGCTGGGTTCGTGTACAAAGGACCGGGACCTGGGGCTGGAGCATCAGCTGCTTGCCCGGGCTCCCCAGGGTCTCAGTTCTGTTGTCCCCACGTCCACTCCTGGCAGGGGCCGCCCCATCGTGTCCGCCAGGGCCTCCCTCACCATCTTCCCCGCCATGTTCAACCCAGAGGAGCGCAGCTGCAGCCTGGAGGGGAACCCTGTGGCCTGGTGAGCTGGGGGCAGCAGGTCGCAGGGACCGGCCGTGGCCTCGGCCTGTGCCTCGGAGGAAGGCGGGAGGCCGGGTCTGCAGCAGGGCGCGAGTGGGGGTGTCCTAGCCGGGGCCTGTCTGGGAGAGAGGCAGAGGACATGGGGGTCCCTGTCCGGTGGGGACATCAGCTCTCCCCTTGGTCTTCCTCCAGCATCAACCTCAGCTTCTGCCTCAACGCCTCCGGAAAGCACGTTCCTGATACCATCGGTAAAGGAGGCACCGGGAGGGGATGGAGGGGCTGGGGCGTGGGCACTGCCCTCCTCTCGGAACAGGTGGAGAGGGAGAGGCAGGCTCTCCTCACACACACACACCCCCGCCTCCCCCGGCTGCAGGCTTCACGGTGGAGCTCCAGCTGGACTGGCAGAAGCAGAAGGGCGGGGTGCGGCGCGCGCTGTTCCTGGCCTCCAGGCAGGCGACCCTCACCCAGACCCTGCTCATCCAGAACGGGGCCCGGGAGGACTGCAGCGAGATGAAGATCTACCTGCGGGTACGGCCTCTGGGCGGGCGGGCGGGCGCGGAGGGGCCCGGGAGGGGGCCGGGAGAACCGGGGCCCCTCCCGCAGGGAGAGAGACGGGGAGGCTCCAGGCAGAGGCGGAGCTGAGGAGGGGACCCTGCTGCCGGAGCTGGGAGCCGGCCGCCCGGGCCGCCCAGGCGATGAGGACGGGCACGTTTGGACTCGGGTCCGCGAAGGCCCTGCCTGGGCCGGCGGAAGCGTGAGGAGCACGGTCCCCTGACTTTGTGAACCCTCTCCCCCGCCCCAGAATGAGTCGGAGTTCCGGGACAAGCTCTCCCCGATCCACATCGCCCTCAACTTCTCCCTGGACCCCCAGGCCCCCGTGGACAGCCACGGCCTCCGGCCAGTCCTACACTACCAGAGCAAGAGCCGCATCGAGGACAAGGTGAGGACAGGGCGGGGGAGCCAGGAGGAGAGGGGCCCGGGGGGGGGGGGGGGGGGAGCCTGCCTACAGCCCAGGGGGGGGCTCTGAACCCCTCCGCTGGCCGCCCCGCCCCAGGCTCAGATCCTCCTGGACTGTGGAGAAGACAACATCTGTGTGCCAGACCTGCAGCTGGAAGTGTTCGGGTGAGTGAAGGCGAGCTCGGGCGGGCGGGGGGTTCCAGAGGCCACGGTCGGGAGCGGGACAGGGACCCTGGAAGGCCCTGCAAACGGGGGCATGCTGGCTGGCTGGCTGTGTGACCTTGGGAAGTCTCTCAGATTCTCCGAGTTTCCGCTGCTTCTTCAGCCGTGTCCTGGGAAGGATGGCACCTATTTCCCCTCGCCTTTTGGAAGACGTGAAACGAGACAGTTTACAGAAAGCAGCTAGCCTAGCGCCTGCCGTAGGGTGGGAGCTCCGTGAACGGCGTCTGTTGTTGTTCTATTCTTGTCCTGGCTTGGAGATGACTTCCCGTGTCCCTCGCCCCGTGTGCCCCTCCAGGGAGCAGAACCACGTGTACCTGGGTGACAAGAACGCGCTGAACCTCACGTTCCACGCCCAGAACGTGGGCGAGGGCGGCGCCTACGAGGCGGAGCTCCGGGTCACGGCTCCCCCGGAGGCCGAGTACTCGGGACTCGTCAGGCACCCCGGGGTACGAGCGGGGCGTGGGGGGGGGGGCACCCTGCCAGGGGGCACCCGCCCCAGCTCCAGGACTCACCCGCGCTCCTGCCCCCCCCCCCCCCCCCAGAACTTCTCCAGCCTGAGCTGTGACTACTTCGCCGTGAACCAGAGCCGCCTCCTGGTGTGTGACCTGGGCAACCCCATGAAGGCCGGCGCCAGTGTAAGCCGGGCAGGAGGGCGGGAAGGAGGGCTGGGCTGGGGGCGGTGAGGCGAAGGCCCCGCCTCTCAGCCTCCCCGTCCTCCTGCCTGACCGCAGCTCTGGAGTGGCCTTCGGTTCACAGTTCCTCACCTCCGGGACACGAAGAAGACCATCCAGTTTGACTTCCAGATCCTCAGGTAGGTGCTGGGGCGGGGTGTGTGTGGTGTGTGTGTGGTGTGTGTGTGTGTGTGGTGTGTGTGTGTGTGGTGTGTGTGTGCAGGCTGCAGCCGCGCTGGGCCCAGCCAGGCCCGTGCCAGCGGGCTCCTCTCTGGCTGGGCTCCAGCGCCAACGCCGTGTCTCCTTCCCACAGCAAGAACCTCAACAACTCGCAGAGCGAGGTGGTCTCCTTCCGGCTGTCGGTGGAGGCCCAAGCCCAGGTCTCCCTTAACGGGTCAGTGCCCGCGGGGAGGGGCCTGGCTGGGCGCGGGGAGACTTGTAGGAAGGTCTGCACAGAGCGCCTCCCGCTGTGCCCTAAAAGCCACCTTCCTCCGCAGCGTCTCCAAACCCGAAGCAGTGCTGTTCCCAGTGAGCGACTGGCACCCCCCGGACCAGCCCCGGAAGGAGGGGGACCTGGGCCCTGCTGTCCAGCATGTGTATGAGGTGAGGAGGGGCGAGGCAGGGCAGGCCAGGACCGGGAGGGGTGGGGCCCCGGTGCCTGATGGGGAAGGAGAACCAGGGGGAGCAGAATGAGGGGCGGGAAGGTGTGTGGAGGGAGGAGGAGTGCTGGGTAAGGCCTGCGCAGGGTCAGCCGGGGAGACAGAGGGACAGGCCAGGTGAGTGACGGGGGAGGGACTTGGGAGCCACCCTGGAGGGTATTGGTTGGAGAGGATTTCATCTCTGCCCACTGCTTTCCTCTTTCACTCTTTTTAAAAATATATATTTTATTGATTTTTTACAGAGAGGAAGGGAGAGAGAGTTAGAAACATCAATGAGAGAGAAACATCCATCAGCTGCCTCCTGCACACCCCCTGGTAAGGTGACCAGACGTCCCTCTTTTGTCCCGCAGTGTTTTAAAAAAAAGTCCCGATTTTTGGAAAGGAAACTTTTTAAAAAACGCCATGGGATGCGGGACAAATTGTTAAAAATCAGGACGTCTGGTCACCTTACCTACTGGGGATGTGCCCACAACCAAGGTACATGCCCTTGACCAGAATCGAACCTGGGACCTTTCAGTCCGCAGACCGACGCTCTACCACTGAGCCAAACTGGGTAGGGCTCCTCTTCAACTGGAGACGGGAGACTCGGCAGATGCGGGCCGCGGTGAGCCAGGGCTGTTCCCTTCCTTCTCGCCGTGACTGTGCTCTCCTCTCCGCAGCTCGTCAACTGGGGCCCCAGCTCCATCAGCCGGGCCGTGCTGGAGCTCAGCTGCCCCCAGCGCCTGGAAGGCCAGCCGCTCCTCTACGTGACCCGGTTCACGGGGCTCAGCAACTGCACCTCCAGCCACCTCCCCAACCCGGAGCGCCTGGAGGTGAGGCTGGGGACGGGAGGGGGTGGGGAGCCGAGGCGGAGAGGTTTGGGAGCGGGACGAGGCTGTGCCTGAAGCCAGGCCTTGGGCCTGGGGATGGGCGTCCGGAGGCCGCAGACACGCGAGGCCCTAGGCAGGAAAAGGACTCTGCTGTGCACCAGTCCTTCCGCCTGAAATCTCCCCCCTTATTTCAGCCCTGGCACGCTCTGAGAACCTAGCTCCATGCCACCTCCTCCGGGAAGCCTTCCAGTTCTGTTCCTCTGACAGCCTCCCTGTCCTCCTGGATCAGAAGCTGAACCAGCTCCTGGGGAGCCTTATGTGTGCTCGTTAACAGTATTTAATTAACGGGGTGCCTTCAGTGAACCCTGGTATAGGCTCAGGAAATCCCGCACGGAGCAACGTTAACAAGGTCTCCCCTCCCATGGGGCTCACGTTGTAGTGGAGGGCACTAACCAGTAAGAATTAAAGAGAGAGATTAACCGGCACTGAAACGTGATAGAAGCGCAGCCCTACCTTTCTGAGTGGGAAGGGAACTGAAGGCTGACCCCTCAGGGGAAAAACCTGGAGGCCTGAACGATAAGGATGAACCTACTTGGGAAGACTTTGGGGAAGAGCATTCCAGGAGGGAAGAGCCGGTGCAAAGGCCCCGAGGCAGGGGCAGGGGCCTGAGTATTGATTTGCACGCCTCTTCCCTGTGAACTCCCAGGACCACGTTCATGCCCCTGTCGCACACTGAGCTGAGCTCGGTGACTTGCCCCCGGGGTTGGCCAGTGGAGATAGGGGTGTCGAACTCAATCAGAGAAGGGGCCAAAATCTAAAATCCAGCCTAAATCGCAGGCCGAATGGTTTACTGAACAGTCATAAACTGTCATTGTGATGGAAACGCAGTGGAGTGCAGTGATGACAGCGCGGTGCGGGCCACATTGCAAGGCCTGGCGGGACGGATTTGGCCCGCGGGCCTTGTGTTTTACACATGTGGGATAAAAGAACCAGTGAAGGCGCTCTGGGCCCAGGTGCAGGCGGACCTAGATGCTGTGATGAGGCGGAAGAGGCCGCTAACAGTCTCTTTCCTCTTCCAGCTGGATCCCGAGGGCTCCCCGAACCACCGGCTGCGAAGACGCGAAGCTCCGGGCCAGAGCCCTGCCTCTGGGCCTCAGGTCCTGGTAAGGCGCCCGGGGGATGAGGTCTGGGCACCTGCTTGAGTTCTCCAAGGGCAGAATTCCAGGCTCAGGCTTCCTCCTCCGTCCCAGAAATGTCCGGAGGCGGAGTGTTTCAGGCTGCGCTGTGAGCTTGGGCCGCTCCACCGGCAGGAGAGCCGAAGTCTGCAGCTGCATTTCCGAGTCCGGGCCCAGACCTTCCTGCAAGTAAGGGAGCTGTACTTCCGCCCTGACCCCACCTTCGGGCCTGCCTGGACTGACCCTCCCGTCCCCCCAGTCCTAGCTACAGTATTTGGGAAAGGGCACTCCCACCCACCCCCCCCCCCCCCCGCATTCCCCTCCCCTCCGGCCCTTGTTTAAACAGAGCTGTGTCCCTGGCGCCACCTAGTGGCCACGCTGAGAAGAGCGACAGCTTCCCTTTCCTGGCCCATTCAAAGAAGGTGGTATTATAGGTCGGGCTGGAGGATGATCCCCGTGCAGAGAACGTAGAAAAACAGAGACGGGAGATGAGTCTCTAGTGGAGAGACAAGCAGGTGTGAGAGTAGTCAATAAAGAGCAATCGTTTACGAAGTGCACACAAGGGGCCAGATATTGTCCTGAGTGCTTAACCCACATGAATAATGATTTCCAAAAGTTCTTATTTACACTCAGTCATCTAATTATGTATTATTTAGTTATGACTATTCAATTACACGTTTATTATCTCACATAAGGGACACAGATTCAGGAGAGAATGAGCCCAAAATAGAGCACGGTCAGGCCTGAGCCAGACCATGGGGATCCGTATGTGCTCTGTATCCCAGGTATCAGGGGTGGGGGGACTGCCCTCAACACCGCTCCTCCGCCCACAGCGGGAGCACCAGCCCTTCAGCCTGCAGTGCGAGGCCGTGTACGAAGCTCTGAGGATGCCCTACCGGATCCTGCCCCGGCAGCTGCCTCGAAAGGAACTTCTGGTGGGTCCGGGGCCGGAGGGCCAGGCTGAGGAAGGTGGGGCTCAGGGTGCTGGGACCTCGATGGGGGGTGGCCTGATGATCATAACCAGTATTTATTGAGCATCTACTGTGTCCTGTTCCAGGGATATAACGATAAGCCAGGTGGACAGGGCACCTTTGCTCCTGGAGCTCACGGCCTGGCAGGCACTGAGTGTCAGGATCTTTTCGGGAACACATCATAGGGACACTGAGCACAGTCTTGCAGGGTCGGGAAAGGCTTCCTGGAAGAAGTGATGTTCCAGCAGAGGCCTGAACTGCCAGGCTAACCATTCAGGAAAGGAATGTTCTCTGGAGAGAGGAAACTAGCAAGTGTGAAGGCCCAGACATCAGCGACAGTAACGCACCTTTTAAAACATATATATATATTTTATTGATTTTTTTTACAGAGAGGAAGGGAGAGCAATAGAGAACTAGAAACATCGATCAGCTGCCTCCTGCACACCCCCTACTGGGGATGTGCCCACAACCAAGGTACATGCCCTTGACCGGAATCGAACCCGGGACCCTTCAGTCCGCAGGCCAACGCTCTATCCACTGAGCCAAACCGGTTTTGGCAGTAACGCACTTTTTAAGAATTTAAACTTTGAAGTTCAGAATTCTGCTAGCCCTAGATGGGAGGTGAGAGGTGGGTCTAGGCCCATTGGCAAGTGGGAACCCAGTGTAGGTGGGGAGGGCTAATGGCTTCCCGGTGACCTCCTGCCTTGCTCCCCAGGTGGCCACAGCTGTGCAGTGGACCAAGGCAGAAGGCAGCCAAGGCGTCCCGCTGTGGATTATCATCCTCGCCATCCTCCTCGGCCTCCTGCTCCTTGGTCTGCTCATCTATGTCCTCTACAAGGTCCGGCACACCCTGCCCTCCCTTCAGGTTCTGCCCTCGGCCCAGCACAATCCCAAGCATCTGCCTCCAAACCCGTTCTCCAGCCTCGGGCCTCCCATCCTGACCCTGCCTGTAGGATCCTTCCCTTCCTTCTACAGCCCCTGTCTTAGAAAGAGGCTCTTGAATCGACCTGACAAGTTTGCCTCTGCCTGCAAAACCAGTGTTACTCGCAGGGGGCAACTCTGGCATTTGTGCTGTCACTTCCTCCGAAGACCGTGGCGGCTATCCCCAACTGGCCAGACCCTCGAGGCGGCCTCAGAGTCCTCCGGAGGCAGCCAGTACGAGGCAGTCAGACTTGGAACTTAAACTTATTTTTTATTTTTTTATTTATTTTTTTATTTATATTTTATTGATTTTGTACAGAGAGGATGGGAGAGAGATAGCAAGTTAGAAACATCGATGAGAGAGAGTCATCGATCAGCTGCCTCCTGCACACCCCCCACTGGGGATGTGCCCGCAACCAAGGTACATGCCCTTGACCGGAATCGAACCCGGGACCCTTCAGTCCCCAAGCCGACGCTCTATCCACTGAGCCAAACCGGTTTCGGCTTGGAACTTAAATTTAAACCTAAACCTCTCTGCTATTCCTGGCTCCCCTGGGGGCACGTTTACGGCACTGATGAAAGGTCCCTTTATACCAAAGCGCGCGCACACACACTCACACACACACACACACACACTCACACACACACACACATACCCGCTCTAGCCCTCCTGCCCATTGGGCCCCCTGGAGAGGCAGACGCGACAGCCTGCATTTAGGCCGCTTGTGCCAGAGAGGGAGTTTATTTATTTATTTATTTATTTAAAATATATTTTATTGATTTTGTACAGAGAGGAAGGGAGAGAGATAGAGAGCTAGAAACATCGATGAGAGAGAGAGTCATCAACCGGCTGCCTCCTGCACACCCCTAGTGGGGATGTGCCCGCAACCAAGGCACATGCCCCCGACCGGAATCGAACCCAGGACCTTTCAGTCCCCAAGCCGACGCTCTATCCACTGAGCCAAACCGGTCTCAGCCAGAGAGGGAGTTTAGAAGCACCAGAGAGTCCTCTTCATTCCCCCTTGGCTTAAGATCTGGGGAGAAACGGGAGCCGCCGTGACTAAACTCTCTTCCCTCCTTTCCCCACCATTAGCTCGGATTCTTCAAACGCTCCCTCCCTTACGGCACCGCCATGGAAAAAGCTCAGCTCAAGCCTCCAGCCACCTCAGATGCCTGACGCCTAACCCCAGACTCCAATCCCGGAGGCTCAGCGACCCCACCCTCAGGCTGCTGACGGGGAGGGGGCCGGTGCTTCCTGAAGGTGCTGAGGGCCTGGGAGACCTCCTCTCCCAGCCCAGAGACATACTTGAAGGGCCAGAGGCGGGAGGGGGGAGCTGAGGGTCCCCACCCCCATGCACTGTGAAGGACCCTCGTTTACACAGGCCCTCCCCGCGGATGGCGGATGGGGGAACTGCGATCCAGGGACCGAGGCCCAGCCTCCCTGCAGGCTTTGCATTTTGGAGAGAGTTTCCTGAAAAACAACTTGGAACCAGAACTGGGGAATGCCATCCCGGTTCTCTGGGCCAGACTTGCCACCAGGACTTCCTGTCCAGCTCCGGCCTGCAAAGCTCTGTCCTCCGCCTTGCCAGAGTTCCACAGGAGGCCCCGGCTGAGAACCTGGCACCTGGCGAGGGAGACCTGGCAGCTCTGGACAGCCCCCACCTCGGTGGGCAAATTAGGAACACTAACTGTGTATGGTGCCCAGGACCAGCTCAGGACAGATCCCAGGACAAGGATCAAGGCTGGCCCAGAACCAGCTCCGAGGAGGATCGGAACTGTAATGGGGCCAGATCGAACCCGCGGCCCGGGGTTGATCTGGGACCCAGACTCGGCCATTGATAACCTAACCAGGCAGATTCGGGACAACATTTGAACCTGCACCGGACACCCTGGGCCCGGAGGCCCAGTCCACCTCTGACTCGGGAGAAGTCAGGGAATCGCCCAGGACTCTGAAGGGGCCATGATGGCAACAGATCTGGAACCTCAGCCTGGCCAAAGGCAGGCCCTCCCAGTCCCCCGGAGAAAGGGCGCCCACCCTCTTGGGCCTGCAGGATTCGGGTTCTGCCCGCCAGGTGCACTGACGCTGCCCTTCCTCTCTCTGCCCGCCCCTGCCCGCCCCTCCCCTCGGCTCGGGACACCCGGGACTTATTTAAACTCTGTTGCAGTGCAATAAACCCGGCCCGGGGCCCCCACTGACCAGAGCCGGAATCTCTCCTACACTTTTTCCAAACTCATCCTGGAAGCAGACGGCTTGGTGGGTAGGGAAAGCCTGTGTTCCCCCTCTCCCCTGGGGGCCAGGATTATAACCCCAGGAACTGGGGAACTTGTTTTGGGGTTCCCTTCTCTTCGATGAGAGAAATGATGGAAGGAAGACTTGACCCCTGCCCATCTCTCAGCCCCACAGCCTTGGTCCCTAACACCTCCGAGAGAAGGAAAGAAACCCTTCTCCTTGCGGGCTGGGGAAGAATGCAGAGGGGGAGGTCCAAGTTGAAGGCGGGAGAAGATGGTCCGGAAGACTCACTCGGGCTTCCCTGAATCAGAATCATGAAATGGGTTGAGAGAAAAAGCCACAAAACTAAAATCAGAAGAAATCAGCTAGGGTTTTGTTCTGGTTTTTTATTGTTTGTTGTAAGGTGGGGGGGAGGGGTGTTAAATATTCCACGTTACCCCTTTAACATCTGTAAATAATCCTATGAAGTAGGTACAATTAACCCCATCTACACAAGAGGCAACCGAGGTCCAGAGAGGTTATGTAACTTGCCCGACTCACCGGCGAGGGCTAGAGCAGAGACAGACGTAGCCTTGCTGACGGGGCAAGCCCTCCTCCTTCGCCAACACGCCACGAGGTTCAGGTCTTTGAAGAGAAGTGAAAGGCAGGGAGCCCCTCAAGGTCCTCTGTCTGCTTGAGGCCTGTGCTAACATGCAGCACAGAAAGGAGAGGGGTGTGCTAGAAACGAATGGGATTGTCCCTGTCGTGCTAGACCCCACTTCGGCCACCGGAGGGCAGCAGAGATACAAATTCATGGAAATTTGGGGAAGGGAGGCTGTGAGGTCCATCTCGCCCTGCACCACCAGGACACTCTTTTCAAGGGAGAGGGAGAAACATCGATTTGTTGTTCCACTAATTTACGCTTCCGTTGGCTTCTTGTGTGCGCCCTGACCGGAAATCTAACCCATAACCTTGGTGTACTGGGACAAGGCTCCAATCAACAGAGCTACCGGGCCAGGGCCAGGAATTAGTCTTTCTACCTTGGGCTCCTGCCTAGCAATGCCAGCGTCACCTCACAATCTCTCTCCTGAAAGACCAAGGTTGCTCCTCACTCCGATCTGTGACTTCTCGATCATTCTGTACCTTGGGAACCTCTTCCCAGAGCCTATAAATGAAGAGGGACTCCTGGGGGAGAAGAGACCTGATGAAGTAGAGCCACCCAGCATTTCCAAGAATAGCAGCTGTGGCATAGCAAGGCACTGGGAATTCTCAAGGAAAGAAACCCCGTGCTCCAGGGTGTGTTCGTGCGGTGCCTGTAGCACGGAGTCTCAGAGAAGGACAAGGCCTCCCGCAGTATAGGAAACAATCCCTTAGGCTCAGGAACGCTGCGGATGTAATCCAGCACCAGCCTCGCTGTCCCTGGACTGTCATTCTCAGGCTCTGGTCCGCTTCCCCTTCGCAATCTCCCAGCCCCCCCGGCTCCATCTGCCTCCCACCGCTGAGACTTGAGTGGTCTGGAGGGACTAGGGTGGGGAACTGGGAGGCCCCAGTCCTTGTCTGTTGGTAGAGGTGGAGAGGAGGCCCTGGGAAGGGAACGGAGCAGCTGGGGGTGCAGGGAGGGGGAGGGGGAGGAGCCCGGGAGAGGCAGCTGGCAGGCGGGAAGCTGATCTGGGGGTCTCAAGTTTCTTGACATCAATTAGAGCAGCCGGCCTGAGCTCATTAGTAGCCCGGGGTGCAGGGCTCATCAATAATGAATTCACCCCACACACTACACCCCACCCCACCCCCAGCTGCCTGCAAGGTCACCCCGCCCTTTACCAGCTGCCTGCCCTTGGTAAGCGAAGCCACCCCCCATCCCCAGCCCTGCAGAGACCTCCCTCACTCAGAGGCCCTAGGACAGGGGGAAGGTGGACCGGGCAAAGGGGTCTCTATCACCAGCCAGCCACGCCTGGTTCTGGGGTCCACCCAGGAGGAGAAAGAGTGGGAAGGACAGGAGGGGGGGCTGTAGGGGGTAAGAAGCAGGCTCCGTGGTGCTAGGGGTGGACGGCAGAGTGGGAGACAGGTCCAGAGCGAGAGGAGCTCCTCTGATGGGCTCAGAGACACACACACCCCTTTTCCCCCAAGGCCAGCCTGGAGCAGCAGGGCCACAGTACCCCGAGATCTCTGGCCTCCAGACCAGACAGAACAAGCTCAAGGCATTGGCCGCCCTGGTATTCTCATGCTCTTGAGTCGGAGCGTCTTGGCAGGTGCAGAAACCTCTTCCCTTCAAACCAACCAGATGGGCGCAGCGAGGGCACGAGACTGCTAAGGCTCAGAAACAGGAACTTGAACTTCCTGTACTTAATTAGCCATCTCATCCCAGCTTCCCTGCAGAACCCAGGAATGCTGGTCCCCGTTCTCCTTTCCATGCTAGAGTCTTCTAAGGTTCCAGTCCCACCACCTTTCCACCGGCCTGCTCCTTCCTGCTGCCGCCCTCCCTCAATCTTACTGTTCTGATTCCCAGGCACACCTCCCTCCCCTCCGTCCTGGGTTGGCTTGATGCTGGCCGCTCGGCATTGTGGGAAGGCCTCCCGCCACCCTCCTCCTCGGGGCAGGTACAGACAGGTCTGGGCTGCAGCGGCTGCATCTTCCCCAGACACCTCGCAGACTCGCAGGCTCCAGTCTTCTGGTGACATCCCAGGGGTCTGCCCCCGGCCAAGCCCCTTTGTTGGTCGTTAGGGTACATCCAGTGTCCCATACTCCGCTCGGCCTCCCTGGACACCGTCCCCAGCCCTTACATTCTGTCCTATCCTCCATCCTCCCCTCCACCTCACCAACCCCCTCCCCCAGCCCTCTTCCATCCAGTCCACCTTGGTGGGGAGGGCCCCGAGTCCAGGCCCTGGATAGAGACTCCTGTCCCCACCCCAACCCGTGTCATCCCCCCCAGGCTGGGCCTCAGATCTGGATCTTCTGGCTCCCTAATGATCTCAGTGGCCAGCTTCCATGTCCACCGTTTTGGATCCATTGATTTCAGCCTGTTCACTGGAACCTTCCCTAAGGGCCATTTGGATTCCAGTCACAGATCAACGTGGCAACCATCTTCAACCCCGCAGTTCACCTGAGACCCAGCCCCCAGGCACCCCCTGCCCTGAGGTGAGAGACACAAGAAGGACCCAGACATTCTCTGTGCCCCCCCCCAACCCCTCGCCGCCGCCGCCGCCCAGCGCATCCTTTTGGAGGACCAAGGTGACCCACCCAGCTCGGGGCCCAGGCCTCCCAGAGGACCTAGCCTCCTCCACCGCAGGGCAGCCCCGTGACACCTTCCCGCCCTCACACCCAGCCCTTCCCAAGGACTCGGGCATCTGCGTTCCTCCATCGCCTCCCACCGCCTTCCAGATGCCCGTTCCCCAGCCCGGGCTGCGGGGACACCGCCAATCCCGGGGGCCCGGGGGCAGCGACAGGGAAGACGGCGGGCGGGAGAGGGGAGCCGCCAGGACGCCCCCTCCCTCCCGGGCGCTCGGGGCCCCCCCTCCCTCCCGCCTTCACCTGCTGCGGGCCCCGCCCCGCCCGGCCTCGGCTCCGCCCCGGCTCCGCCCCCCGCACCCCCAGCCCGGCCACCGCGGCCCCCGGGACAGAGCGACGCGGAACCCCGGGCCGCTGGCGGCCGCCCGGGTCCCCAGCATGATCCTCGGTGAGTGGCTCTGCGGCTCCCGGCTCCCGGCTCCCGGGCCCCTCTCAGCAGGTCACCCCCCCCCAACCTCCCGGCACCGCGGGGACTGCGGCCGCCCGCCAGCCGCCGGCTCCCCCTCCCCCTCCCCCGGGCTCCCTCCCCGGGGTCCCCCCTCCCCTCTTCCTGAAGCTGCCGCTGCTCCCGGTCCTCCGGGGGATGCCAAAGGGGCGGACAGTTAGGTGAGACCCCCGCCCCATAATGAGACATTGCGTATTCATGAGGCTCATGAATATTCTATGACCCGCCACGGGCGGCTGGGGGCGGGGGGCCCCCCGCTGGGGGGGAGTTGAAGGGAAGGTTCTGACCCGGCTCCCCCACCCTCCGAGGCTCTGGCCCCCGACCTCCTCCCGGGCCCGGGGTTAGGGGGAAAGGAGGAAGTGGGGGGCAGGCGAAGGGAGGAGACGGTGGGTGTAGCTTCCTTCGAGGTGCGAGTGGTGGGAGGTGGGGGTCGGGGGGCTGGGGAGAGGACGGGGTGGGAAGCTGTCCATCCCGGGGCCCCTGCGGTTCAGATCCTGCCTCCTCCGCAGCCATCCTGCCCCGACACGCCAGGACCTGCCCCCTCTCTCCCTCCCTCCTGCGCCGGCTGCCTGGGCCCTTCCTTCCCGGCTCCCTCTCCCCGCCCCCCCCGCCCCCACCCCCACCTGCCTGGGGGGCTGGGGAGCCCCGGGGAGGAAGGGGCAACGGAAGGGTGCGGGTGGGGGAGGGGAGCTCCCGCGGGGCCCTGACAGCCCTCAGCCACAGCCACCCCATCCCCATGACCTACATCGGAGGGATCCCCGAGGGGAGAGGGGAGCCGGCAGATGAGCTAGCCAGCCGAGTGCGGACTCCTCATCCGCTGGGCTCCAGGCCCCTGCTCTGTCCTCTGACCTCTGACCTCCGCCCTCCGCCCTGGCTAAGGCCGTTCCTGGGCCCTGCTGGGGTGGGAGCCCTGCTCTCCAGGCCCACACACCTGTGGGCTCCCCGCTCCCCGCCCACGGCGGGGACACCTGGCTCCATGCTGGTGCCCCAGGCGGGCCTCAGCCCTCTGCTGTGTGTGTCCTTGGCTCCTTGCTTTCCTTCTTTCGTTTGACCCCTGTGGACTCCCCACTGTCTTCGTTTCCTGCTCTGCATCTCCCTCCATCTCTTTCCTCCCGCTCCCGAATCTCCTCACTCTCTCACCACTTATGCGTGACCATCTCCACCTGGCCCTCCATCGGAGCTATTAAATGAAGGAGGGAAGGAGGGAATGGCCGACTGGTTGCCTGCCTCCTTCCCACGGGCGTCCCCCGCAGGGACGGGAGTCCCACCCGTCTGTGAAGACTACCCAGAGTGACCCTCTCCTCCACGGCCTGGACTCAGGTTCCCAGAGCACAGGCTCCACATTCCTCCGTTTTGTGCAATCCCTGTGCCCGGGCCCCACCCTGGGTGTGAGCCCGGGGGCAGCGTCGTGTTTGGCCAGAGCAGGCCAGAGGGAGCCATACTCTCCCCGATCAATCGTTCCTAACGAGGGCTTCCGGCAGCTGCTCAGACCGGACAAGAGCCCACACCGGAAGAATGCCTGCATCCACCAGTGGTGCCCAGCACCTCTCCCTGGAGGACACTGTAGTGAACTCCCTCCTGGGCCCACCCCACAGGGGGGCGGGAAGCCTGGGCCCTGGGCCGTGCGTCTTCGCCCTCTTTGGGCTCAGGGCCCGAGCTGAGGTTTGCAGGTTCTGCGTGTGGAGATGTGTGGAGTCAGTGTGCAGCCCGGAAGGCCCGGCCTGCCGGCCCAGGGCTAAGGTGGTGGTTTGGGCTCAGTTCCCCGGTCCAGGTCCCTCTTGCTGCCCTCTCCAGCCGCGCCCCCCGTGGGGCAGAGGGGGGGGCCATTGAAAGAGGCCCTTTCCTGTCCGATCGGGAGCATGTCCCAGGGTTGTTTTTTCTCTCTTCCCTTCCTGGCCACCTTCTCCCTGTGGCCCTGCCCCCACCCACATCTACCCCGGGGTTATTAGGGCTGATGTTTGAGTTATTGTTCATAACCATCCCCTTGTCGCTTTCATCTTCGACTTCAAAGCCTCTCCAGCCCTCAGCCTGCCTCCTGCCAAGATGGGGGAAAGTGAGGCAAAGGGGGACGTTGCCATGGGGCTTGCTCAAGAAGGCAAGACCCAGGGTTGCAAGGCTCTCCTCTGGATCCCCAATATTAGGCTTTTCTGGGGAGGGAGAAGAGGCCAAAAGGCCTGAAGAGAAAACGAGATGAATTAGAGAAAAAAAATCCTAAGTCAGACTCGAATCCAAATTCTCCTTGGCCCCAGAGTCTAATTCCTCTGCTTTTCACCACCGTGGGCCGGAACACAACCTGCAGTCGTAACCTGGATGCCTCTGACTAATCAGTCTCCTCCTGGCCCATTCTCCAGACCAACCCCAACCCAGGCCCCAGCGCCTCCCTGCTCCCGTTCCCACGCAGCCACTCCCTGCGCCAGCTCAGGGCAGACACTCCCGTTCCTTCCCGCAAGGGCCTGAAGCCCCAGACCCAGCCTCAGGTGGCCACGGCGGAGGCGGCACTGGGACTCGGACCAGGCCAGAAGTTCTGGGGAGCAGAGGAAGGAAAAGATGGGCTCTCAGTGGGACGGAAGGAGGCAGCTGTGGCTTGGTGCTGGAGGGGACACCTGAGCAGGATCCAAGTGCCCGGGGCAAGGTGGAGCACAGAAATGGACAGATGGACATCCATCCAAGGGTCTGAGAGTTCGCCTCCAAAGTTCACCGGGAACTGTCTTTAATAAAGCATTTGGCAGCTCCCCACGGAGATGGGTGAGGCTCTCTCCGCAGGAGATAATTATGTGCTCTAATGAGCTAGGCTCTGGAGTGGCCTGCCCCAGCCAGGCCCCAGTTCTCCCCTGCCCTGCCTGAGGTGTGTGACACACACACAGACACACACACACACAAACTCCAATTTGCTCTCCACCCCCTTCCCCAAACCTGCCTGAAGCTCTCAGCTAGCCAAATAGCAGAAGACCTAAATTTCCCACCCATTTCCCGCTTCCCCAGTCCTCACTATCATTCCTGCCTCCCCCCGCCCGCCCGCCCCTGGTCTGCCCAGAAACGTGTAGTGCTTGAAAGCCAGCCGCACAGATTCAGATCCCTCACTAGTTGTGTGACCTTAGTCAAGTAACTCCCCTTCTCTGAGCTGTCTGTCATCATCTACAAAATAAGAGTTCATCTGTCGAGCAAACATTTATGCACTGAGCTCCCTCGCAGCATGCCAGTACTTTACATGAACTTGTTCGATCCTCTCAAGAACTCCGTGAGGCAGGTACTGCTTGTTCTCATCTGATAAGCGAAAAATTAGCCCGAGAGAGTCAGAGGAGCTGGCTAGTCCCCAGCTAGTGAGCCGTGGCTCCATCACTGAGAGGCTGTATGTGTGAAGTGTCAGGCATAAAGTGGCACCGCCGTCCCTCCAAAAGAAGCAGCTATCCATCCGTACGCTCCCCAGGGGGGTGGGGGAGGAACTGAGTCCTGGACCACCTGAAACCCAGGGCCCTGCTTCTGCTGTTCGTCCTGTCAGCTGCCATCTGCCCACCTCTCGTCCTCTCCTCACTCCATCCTCATTTCAACCCTTCCCCCCTTCCCCCCCCTCCCTCTCCACTCCCTGCCCCCCGGGCTCCTGTCAGTGGGAACGATGAGTTGCTGGCTGTCGGAAACTGGGTGGCTGCAACCTGTTTTCTTCCAATCCCAACAAATGCATGGAGCCTGCTCTCCCCTCCCTCTCCTCACACAAGATGGAAGGCAGCGCTCAGATCTCTGCTTCAGAGTTAGACCGAAGCCCTTTGGGGTTATGTAGCAGAGAATTTACAGAGCACGACAGATCTCGACGTAAATCCCAGCTCTGACACTTACACGCTGTGTGACATCAGTCGAGTTTTCGACTTCTCTGATCCTCCGTTTCCTCCTATGAAAAGCGGGAAAACTGGGATCAACCGCCTCCACAGAACTGTCACTCCCTCAGAGACTCAATGTGATAATACCCAACCAGAGAAAGGGTCAAGGAGCTGAGCCGCTGCCTCTGGTGCGCCTGGGCGGGCAAGCGCCAGCCCCAACCCAGCTGCTAAGGTGGCTGCTGGTGCTGGGCCTCTGGGGGTGCTCAGGTTTCTCTCACCATTCCTGGTGCCACCCGGGGCTCGTTAAGGCTGCCCCCGCCCCGTGTGCCAGGCAGGAGGGTGGGGTATAGAGAAGAGAAGCTATGAGGGGCAGACCGGGAAGGGGAGATGGTTGGATTACCCCCCATCAGTCCGTCTGTCCCTGTCTTGCTATGCTTTCTGTCCTTGGATCTCTCTCTCCTGGTCTCTAGCTCTGTGTCCAGCTTTCCAGCAGTGTCCCTGGTTTTTCTTCCTCATTTCACTCTCTTCCATCTCTCCGTGGTTCTGGGTCCTTTTCTCTCTGTGTCTGTGTTCCATTTCTCAGTCACTTGTTCCTGCTTCTGTGTCTTTTCCATTCCCTCTTACTCACTCATGCCTGTCTGCCTCTCTCCCTCCCTCTCCTCCTCCTACCCCATACCAAATGCATGGGGATGGACACAAGGTGCACAGAAAAAGAGGAAATGGACTCGGGGTATACAGACCCCTGAGTGCCCGAGGGCCAAAGCCCAGTATCCTGCCATTCCCTTCAACCTTCAGACCCTGGAGCCCAAGCTTCCTGCAGCCTGGACCCCTCTCTGCCTCAGGCACCATGGCTCCCTGGCCCTCGCTGTGGGTGGAAGACACAGACCCCTCCAGCCCTTTCTGGACCAGCTCCCTGCCCCCAGCTGTGCCTGAGCCCTCCGCACCCCCTCCCTCTCTTCCTCCTGATTCCCCTAATCCCTGCTCCCCCGCCCTCCCCTCTGCCCCACTTTTGCAGGACTCTGATTGGCTGGTTCTACTGACTGGACTGGGGGGGTGCTGGCAAGGGAGAGGGCAGGGGGCAGAACCAAGTGAAGGGGACGCTGTCAGGCCCGGGCCCCTGGTGGGCCAGGGGCAGGCCATGCCTGGGGGCAGCGGGCACTAGAAGCTGAAGGTATGAAAGGGGCCGTCTCTGTGGAGGGAGCCAGAGAGGATCTGAGGGACCCTGTGCCCTGCAGGTCAAGGGAGGACAGGGCCAAGCTTGCAGCCTAAAGGTGTGCCTGTGCTGCTGGGAACCCCTGCTGCCGACAGGGGCTGGCTCCCCCGCGGAAGAGCAGCCGGAGTTTCCCAGCTGGTGGACACGGGGAGGCCGAGGAAGGGAACTGGGCCAGCGGGAGCCCAGAGGGGTCCTCAGGGCCTGTGGGCCCCCCGCTTTGGAGCCTGGCGGGGTTCCTCCCAGGGCCCTGGCGGGAGGAGAAGGTCTGAGTGGGGGCTGGGCCCCGTGGAGCGGCTGGCCCGGACTTTCATTTCCCATTTGGGCTAGACCAAGGCATTCCCCTCCCGGAGGCCTGGTTGTAGTTCCTCCTGCAGGGTGGGAGTGGAACCCTCCAGGTTAGACAGACAGGGGGCCGTGGGAGGACAAGAAGGCTGGGAGAGGGCTCCCCCTCCCCCTGAGGGACCCCAGGGAGTCCACCACCCGGAGCCAATGCCATGCACCTATGCCCTCTGGGGGTGTGGACAGTTCATTAAGAATTATGATTGGGGCAAAATCACAACTGTTCGGGTCGTCTGAAAGATCCCATAGCCCTCTAGGCCTCAGTATTCCCCTCTGGGCAGTGGGATGAATCACCCACAGGCTTTTGGGATTCCCTGGGGAAAAGCGAAACCAGAAGAAGGGAGTGGCCAGGGGCTCCGGGTTCCCAAGTCCTGCTGGCCCAGCAGGCAGTCTGCCCAGCCTGTGCTCTCCCTGGTCTGTCTAACACCGAATGGCCTTGGAGGAGGGAGGCTAGAGAAAGGGGAAGTGAAAACCACCCAGAAGGGAAGGACTGGTCTGCACCCTCCCCCAGACCCACGGGGACCTGCTCCATTGCCCTGGAGCCAGCGAGCAGGGGAAGTGTGTGTGTGCATGGGCGTCGCACTTCTGAGTGTGGGGGCCCCGGCCGGGAGTGGGACTGACAGGCTTCAGTCTTCTTGTCTCACGCGATGTTTTCTCCGCCCTGCAGGCAGCCTGAGCCGGGCGGGGCCCCTCCCTCTGCTTCGGCAGACCCCCATCATGCAGCCCCCGCTGGACCTCAAGCAAATCCTGCCGTTCCCCCTGGAGCCGGCCCCCACCCTGGGCCTCTTTGGCAACTACAGCACCGTGAGTAGCCGCAGCCCGCCTCCCACCGCTCCCGTGACCTCAGCCCTCCCTCCACCCGCCCTTGTATCTCTCTTCTTCCCCTTGTATCCAATTCCTTCACTTCTTAGAATCCCATCTTCCTGGTCCTAGCCTGTTTAGCTCGGCGGATAGAGTGTTAGCCTGTGGACCGAATGGTCCCGGTTTGATTCCGGGTTCGATTCTGGTCAAGGACAGGTACCTTGGCTGCAGGCTCCTCCCAGGGCCAGGCAACCAATGGATGTGTTTCTCTCATATCAGTGTTTCTCTCTCTGTCTTTCCCTCTCTCTCCCACTCTCTAAAAATCACTGGAAAAAAATATCCTTGGGTGAAGATTAGGGTCCCGTCTCCCTTACTTCGACTATTACAAATATTGTTGGCTATCTGGTATATTAGTTTTATTAGTAGCTAATATTTGCCGAGGTCTTGCTATGGGCTCGACATTGTGCTGGGTGTTTGATATGCCTCATCTCATCTAGTCTACCATCTCGAGAAGTATCAATACTTAGACTGGTGGAAGTGATTACAAGGAGGTGGGAGGGGTGAGAGGCTCTCCTTGAAGACAGAAATATCCAGAAAGAGGAAATAAGCAGGGACATAGACATGCCTGTTTGTGAGTTCCATCTCTCTGGAGCCCACAGCTGGGGGGTGTGGTCAGAGGGGTAGGTCTTGGAGGGCTGGCCAAGTTGTCTAGATTTAATACCATATGAAGCAGCCATTATCCAGTCTTGAGCAGGAGAGTGACTTGGTAAGAGCAATGATTAAGGCCGAACTGGTTTGGCTCAGTGGATAGAGCGTCAGCCTGTGGACTGAAGGGTCGCGGGTTCGATTCCGGTCAAGGATATGTACCTTGGTTGCGGGCACATCCCCAGTGGGGGGTGTGCAGGAGGCAGCTGGTCGATGTTTCTCTCTCACCGATGTTTCTAACTATCTCTCTTTCTTCCTCTCTGTAAAAAATCAATAAAATATATATATTTTTAAAAAGAGCAATGATTAAGGCCCCAGCCGCCCTGATACACCAAGATTGTGGGTTTGAAGCCCTGTCAGGGCACATACAAGCATCAATCAATGAATGCATAAATAAGTGAAACAATGAATCTCTCTCTCTCTCTCTCTCTCTCTCTCAAATTAGTCGGTCAATAAAGAACAGTGTTTAGGAAGGTGAGTGGGACAGCTGGATGGAAGGGGGCAAGGCTAGAGGAGGCGGCCAATGAGGAGGCGGCCAATGAGGAGGCGGCCCCAGCAGTATGGGCCCACAGGGAAGCCTGGAGCGCCAGACTAGTGGGTGTTAGTGACAGCGGGGTGTGAGGAAAGAGGGAGATGGGCAAGGTATTTCCAAGGAAATATTGACAGACCATGATGACCAACTGGTGTTTGGGGGCTGGGGAGAAGAGAGAGGATGAGTCAGCGATGACTCCAGGGTTTCGGGGCGCTGTGATTGGGAGGGGGAACTCACCTTGACAGGGGCAGGGGGTTGAAGGAGGAAGCTGATCCCTCATGGGGCTGCTGAACCCCCTTTAGGACATGGAGCCAAAAATTCGAACATTTAGCATTTGTGGCCTGGAGACTGGGCTAGAGCTAAAAGTTTAGGGGAAGTCAGCTTTATTCAATTCAGATAACCCACCATCAAACCATAATCAGCTATAAACATCTATTGAGCACCAACTATGCACCAGGCACTGTGGTAGGTGTTTCTGTACATGCTCTCATTTAATCTTCTCCACAACCCAACAAAGTAGACATTATTATTCCTGTTAGACATATGAAAAACAGAAACTATGGCTCAGAAGGGTTTCGTAATTTATCTAAATTGACACAATATGCGCGTAAGATATGATTTGAACCCATAGCCTGACTCTAAATAGAGTTCTCTTCATACCAGCTACTTCCTCCAAACTTCTCTCGAAGAATCTAAACCAACATTTGTATTGCACTTTGAAGTTTCCAAAATGTTTCTCATATCTCAATCTGGATAGCAATCCTAAAGAGTAGCTGTGATTTTATTTTCATTTTTCAGATGAGAAAACGGAGGAGTAATTACTATAAGCAAGGTATGTTCTAGATATGATGGAGACATGAGGATGAAATGATACGATCCAATCTTGAAAGAGCTTATATTCAGGGGCGATACACAGACATGAAGGCAGCAATCTGTAGTGCAAACCAGAGGAAGAGTTAAGAAATATTGTGAAACAGACACTAACAATCCAAGTCTACAAAAAAAATAAGTTTATTTTGAGCATCCACTATGTGCCAGGCACCATGCCTGGTGTCGAGGACACAAGATTCAGTCCACGCCCTTGTGGGATTCGCAGTTTAGTAGGAAAGATAACAAGCTAACAGTTACCCTATAGTGCAAGGAGAGCTGTGCCAGAGGCATTTAGCTTGCATTTAGCCCCAGAGGGTGTCGAGAAAAGCTTGCTGGCTGTGGCGGTCCCTATGGGACCAACGTGAGCTAAGCAGGAGAAAAAGGGAGAAGAGGAAAAACTTGCAGCAGGTGACCTATTATTTGCACTTTGAAGAATTAGTAGTAGGATTTTGACAGGAGACTTGGAGAACATTTCAGACAGAAGCAGAGAGCATGAACAAGGTCTAGAAATGAGCACTTGAGGAAGTGCAACCGATTGTATGTAATTAGAGCAGAAAGTGCTGGGAATACTTTCTCCCGTGCAAATACCTGATTTTCACTTACCCTCAGATCACCAATCATTTCCCCCATTTTATTTTTTTTTATATATATTTTTATTTATTTCAGAGAGGAAGGGAGACGAAGAGAGAGACAGAAACATCCATAATGAGAGTGAATCGTTGATCAGCTGCCTCCTGCACACCCCCCACTGGGAATCGAGCCTGCAACCGTGGCACGTGCCCTGACTGGGAATCGAACCGTGACCTCCTGGTTCGTAGGTTGACACTCAGCCACTGAACCACACCGGCTAGGCGCTCCCATTTCATAGAAAAGGAAATAATGATCAAGAGATGTTAAATGACTTGTCCAAGATCACGAAGCTACATAGCGATTCCCGACTTCCCAGGGTTCCTGGTCCCATTGCCTCTAGTGGGGAGCGAGGAATAGCAATAGAAAGCCAGGAGCAGAGTGTGGAGGGTGCAGCAGGGTATTTTGTATCTGACTGGCGGGATTTGAATTGATGTTATAAAAGCACTGGCTGTGTGGCCTTAGGCAAATTACTTAACCACTCTGAACCTCAGTTTTACCAGCTGCAAAGTAAGATAGTAACAGTGTACCAGCTCATAAGGCTGTGAGGATCCTATTATATAATCATAATGCCCAGCGCAAAGTAAACATTCAATTAGTATTAACTGCTATGATGATTACGTTATTGCTATTCTTTTTATTTAAGGGAGGGTCAGAGAGAGAGAGATAGTATGGCCAAGGCCTCAGCCTTGGGGAATAAGCAGAATCAGGCAGTGGGAACTGGAGGAGCCACTGAAGGGAACGGGGTGGAGAGAACCAGGCCCTTGTGGAGATGGAGAAGCCAGGAGGGAGAGCGGGTGGGCCGCCTCAGTGGTGCAGGCTTCTGCAGGGGAACGAGGCTGCAGAGAGCTGCCCGCAGCCTTTGGCAGCTCCGGGCAGCGGCTAAGGACATGGCTTTGCAGTCAGGCCGCCCGGGTTTAAATCCAAATCTCAGTTCAGCCACTTCCTAGTTTACGACCTTGAGCAAATGATAACCTCAAGTCCCTCGTCTATAAAATAAAGATAATAATAGCACTTGGAATAGTGGTTGTGGAGATTAAATTAGATAATCCATGCAAAGAGTTCGCAGTCCAGAGGCTGGCACTTTCCAAGGGCTTAACCAACGTTAGATGGTGGTAGTGGCGGAATTATTATTATTTGTGGCAGAGTCTCTCCCTTCCTGGACTAATACCTCCGGATCCATCTCCTCATTGGACAGTTTCCATCCCTAGACTCCTCCCTGTATCACTGTATTATGTGTCCCTCTGCCCTTGGACATCCCTCGTGTCTCCCTAAGACAGCCTCTCTCCCTCTCTCTCTCCATCCAGTCCCCTGCTTCACTAATCTCTGTGTCCTAGGTGGAATGGGAGGAGATGAGATCCAGAAGTGAGAGAGGGAATCCTAGAACCTGTCCAGAGGGGATGAGGAGGTGTCCAGGGGAGTGTGCTGCTTTCTCCTGCCACCCCCGCTGCCACCCCCATCACCCAGTGCTGCCCCGCTGGGCCGCCAGAGGGCAGCAAGTGCACGAAGCATAAACCTCAGGGAAGCTGGTTCTCCAGCAGGTGGCGGGCCAGGGAAGGAGGTAGGAAGAGGTGAGGACCGAGGTCCCAGCCTGAGGCCGGTCCTGCCCCGAGTGCCCGCAGCTCCGGCCGTTCAGAGAGAGCAGTGCCGGACGCCTGGCTACCTGGGCTCGCGCCCTCTCCCCTAGTACAGAAAGGGGCATGCAAAAGGGCACGGGACCCGAGTGCAGAGGGAGCAAGGAAGGATCGTCTGGGAACTCGGAAGAAAGCCTGTCAGCGGGGGAAGGAGGGGGGGATAGGATGAAAAAAGAGGAGAAATGTCCCAGCTAGAGAAACTAGAGAAACAGGGTCCTCCATAGGATCGGTGGGAACACGAGACCCAGCAAGGGTCCCCGGTGGAGGGAAGCCAAGGTCATCTGGGCAATGCCCCATCGGCTGGCCGAGTGGCCCTCACACCAGGAGTGGGTCTGCTCTGGAATCAGTGTCAGCACGTGGCCGCTCCCTGCCCTCCGCCCAGCCCCTCCGCAGGCCTCTCCCTCTCCCAGCTCCCGCCCCGCCCCGGCCCCGCCCCCGGGGCGGTCCGGTCCCGCCGGCGCCGCCTCCCTCCTCCCGGCCCGCCCGGCCGCACAGCCCCGAACCACCCGGGCAACGCGAGCCGCTTCCCTGGGCTGCCCAGCCCGGCCCGGCTCGAGGCCCCCGCCCGGGTCCGCCACCCCCGGCCATGGAGCCGCAGCCCCCGGGGTCCCGCAGGGTAAGCCTCCCGTGCCCTCCTCTCTCCCCCGCTCCCACCGCTGCCGCAGCGCCCCCCGCCCCCACCCCATCCCCGCCCGCCCGCCGCCCGCCCCTGCGGGGCTGGCCACCTCCCCTCCGCCCGGTCCCCGGGTGATCCTGCCCATCCCCCACACACGGCGCGGCCCCAACCCATCTCTGGGTCCCAGCTGGTGCCTCCAGACTGCTGCCACCGTACTGGGTACCCCAGACTCAGCTGTTCAGGTCCTTGGAGTCCCCCAGATCTTCAGACATCCCAGCAGGTCCTGCACCTACCCTACAATGACGGTGCCGCCCGGATCCAGATCCCTCTTACCCAGCCTGACCCCATCCAGCCTCTCCTCCCCAGCATCCCTCCCCCACTGCTTCCACCTGCTCTTCAGACACCCCCTAGCTCCTTCTCCTTCCTGTGTCTGTCCGTCCTGGCCCTCTGGTCTTCCCAGCTGAGATTCCACCCCCTTCCCTTTTCACCTTTGTTTTTGGGGGGATGGGGAAGTGGGGTGGTCAGACAAGGGGCAGCAGTTACCAGCAGATAAAGGGCGGTGGAAGGAAATATAATCACAACCCCCACCACCACCACCACCCTCGTGTCCTGATCTGGTTTCCCGCTCCCCATCCCCTTGCCCTTCCCAATTCATTGTGCCCCGGCTTCAGGGAGCCATTCCCCTTCACGTCTGCTGGTGGAGGGCAGGTGGGAGGGGGCCGCTTGGGGGGCCTTCCCAGGTGGTGCCTCGGCCAGAATCCCGGGAAGGGGCTCTGGAGTGGAACGGGCTCTGGGAGACGCTGGCCTCCTGCCCTCCCCTGAGAGCCCTCATCTAGGTCACCAGGCCTCTTGACCTTGGCCCGAAGCAGCACTTCTGGCTCACATTCCACCTGCACAGGGATTGGGCCCAGCAGCCCCATCTCCAGCCTGGTGTCTCCTCGGTTCCCGGAGGAGAGGGTGGCAAGGACACACCGGACTGACTGGTCGATGCCCTCTTCCCTGCCCGCGCCCACCCCTCGCTGGTGTTTGTGGGCTTATTCCTGAGGGGTGGGTTGTGCAAGAGAAAGGCTCTGACCCTGGAAGAAGGACTCAAGTAGGGCAGGGACCGGTGTCCGGGATGGATGCTGGGATAATAGCCCACAAGTCCTCCTCAGGGGAGCGGGCTGGGGCGGGGGGGTGGGGCATAGACAGATTCAGGGGCCTCCCCGCTCCCCTCTCCATCCGACTCCTCTCTCCCTGTTATTTTAATCGACTTAAGTTTCCCAGCCCAGATTGGGTTTCTCTTTGGGCTGACTTCCATTCCCCACTCAGCGTGTGCGGAAGCCCAGGGACTGAGAACCCCGGGGCAGGGTTGGGGACGGGGTGTCCCTGGGTGGGAAGGACCGAAGGCTGGAGACGGGGAGCTGAGAGCAGTCATCTGTCTCCTTTTTTTTCCTGATTAAAGTCCGTCTCCAGTTGGGTCTGTCTTTCTTTCTGCCAAACACATCATACATTCACACAAACACCCAGCTGAAGATTACACAACCTGGCCTCTCGTGGCGTCAGCAGAACCCCCGACACAGAAATGTTGATACATGAATGATATACACACAGCACATGATCCTCCCTCACACTCCACCCAGGCCCAGATTGAGCACAGCCTGCCTAGACACACACACACACTCTCTCAGACACACCCGTTCTCCCCATGTGGCTGTTCCTGAGCTTTCGGGAGGTGAACCCGAGCCACTGCAAAAGGCTGCTTCCAGCCAGCGGCAGGCAGGCCGAGAGAGGGACACTTGTCCGTGAGACCAGTGGCCTGAACCTGGGCCCGGCCCTGCCCCTACCCCGGCCACCTGGGCAGCACACTTCACAGGGGTGCTACGTTTCCTGACGTTACCCACACAGCCGGGGAGACTGGGGGGGAGCAGAGAAGACAGGATACCCCCTACTGTGGGCTTTCCAGACTTGAACCGCCTTCCTCCCTCTGCTCCACACTCCTGCCTCTCTCCGGTGCCTCACTTGGCACCATAAGGTCCTAGGCCCAACGAGGGGCTCAGCTGAGGAGCTGGGACCTTCCAAGTCCACAGCAACTGTGTTTCACTTGATCCTTCCACCTGGAAGATAAGGTTTCAGCTCTAATTTGGTTCCCTTTTTACGAGCAGTCCAGAGGATCGCCCTCCTCAGCCTCAGCTGCATTCCATCCCCGCTTTCTCTGGCTGCCAGGGGCCCGAAGGGAGGACTGTGCAGAGAAGCAGGTTGTTTTTTCTTTTTGCCTCTAAGCCCCTGGCTTTCTCCCCTGATAGCAGGAAGCCTCGGAGAGAAACTCCCCTCCTCATGGGAACTGTTGGCAGGAGACTGCAAAGACATCTGCTGACCCGGAGTGGGGGCAGAACCCGTTTCTAAGCCCGCCCGGCCCTGCAGCCCTGCCCCAGAAGCCCCGTGGTCGGGGAGAGCTCGGAAGACAGATGGGCTGCCTCGGGCCACCCCAGCTTCTTGGGCTCCCCCACTTATTCCCCGTTATTGGCTAGAGCCCCCTACTCTCTCCTGAGTGTTTACTCCTTCTAGAAGCCGTTGCCTTAAAGAGGTCCAGGGGGTGAGCATGTTAAGGTAACTTGAGACTCTGGGATCATCCGTCTCCTGGGACCGGAAGCTCAGCTTGGTAGACAGACTTACCCCAGAGAGGAGGTAAAAAGGGCCTTCACCGAAGGCTCTAGGGTCTGGGGTCTTTGGAACTTCCTGTTGTGTGCCTCTGGTGGATCAGCCGAGCTGCAGGAGATAGGTCAGGGTGACCGAGTTGGATCTTCTGCGTCAGGAGTCCAGGTTCAAGTCCCAGCTCTCCTGTTCACTCCTGGTGTGACCTCTAGGCAAACTGCTTCCACTTTCTGTCCAGTGGGAGCCCTGGGCCAGTCTGTCCCCAGGTCCCTCCCAGTGCGGTGAAGATTGGGCCTTGGGCTGGGAGGAAATCAGAGGACTGAGACTCAGAGCCCCAGGATACTGACGGATAAGGAAGCGGCCCTGGGGGGGTTGGTTCAGCCCAGCTCCTGTCCCCGGGGGGATGATGGACATGCACTTGTGCTGGGGCTCCTGGCTCACCCCAGCCTGCCTCCACAGATGGACCCCGTACAGAAGGCTGTGCTTTCCCACACTTTTGGGGGACCCTTGCTCAAGACTAAGAGGCCCATCATTTCCTGTAATGTCTGTCAGATCCGCTTCAATTCTCAGGTAAGAAGCCCAGCCACCCGCCCACGAAGTGGGTGGAGCAGGAGCAGCCAGGGGGTGTGGGGAGAGGCCCCAGGCTGGGAGCTCTGGGGCAGGGGCAGGGATTGAGGGGCTCTCAGGGAGAGAGCAGGGAATGGGGTGCCGTAGGAGGGCATGCAAGGACAGAACGCACTTGAGATGTCCCAGAGGTGACTCTATATTTCAACCTAAAAGTAGAGCAGTTTGCTAAGGCTGAGCCCGCCTCCCCTGAAGAGAACTGTATGTCTGGCTCAGAACTTCTTGGGACACGGGTGGCCAGTGTTGGGGTGGGTGTGTGGCCTCGGGCCCACTGGTCCTTGGGTGCAGAACTGAGTTAGGTTACTGGCCCCCCTGCCGAGCTGTGCCCTCCTTGGCCTCTGCTGAACTCTTTCCCTGGCCCATCCGCTTCCCTTTAACCTCCTGGCTTCCTCCTTTCTCCCCCTCCTCCCTCCAAGTCATACACAAAGCCTGGCCCCCACTCCCTCCCTCCCATGGGACTTTCCAAAAACTCAGAACCGGGGTGTCTCCCGGATCTCCTCCCGCCAAGGCTCCCCCACTCCTGTGTGGGTTCAGAGGGGGCTTTGTGAGGTGCAGGTTCCAAGAGCTTTTGGAGAAAAACAGCAGAGCCTCATTCTGCTGAGTACGGGAAAATGAAGCATTATTCTGTTTGTCTACCCAGCCCACACATGTACACACCATGCTGCCAGGCTCTGCACACCCCTGCCCCGCCCCAAGGCTGGCAGTCTTTTTTTCTGCCTATCCACGCCTTCTATTTCTGCTCTGTGCCCGTCTGGGTGCCCTTGTAGCTCCGGGATTGTGTGCTCTTAGCAGGGGGTACACATAAAAATGGGGGTAGCCAGGACCAGCCCAGCTTCAGGCCTCCGCTTCACCGCAACCCCAGGCCTCCCCTCTCCCAGCCCGGGCTCCGCTCATTGGTGGGAGGGGGAAGACCAGAGGGGAGGGGGCCAATAGCAGGCAGCCCTCCCTTCGTTTTGCCCTCGCTATCCTACCCCAACCAGGAGGCTCTGTTTTGACAGCTGTCTCTGCTGCTTTCTCTGTCTCCAGAGCTGGGCTCGGGGCCAGGGTCCTCCAGGGTGTCTGCAGAGGCTCCAGGGAAAATGAGACCCACGGGACAATAGCCCAGGCCCCAGAGCCTCTGGGACTCCCAGGCTGAAGGTAGAAGCAGCAAAAGCTGGATCCTGGGGCCAGGGGACACAGGCCCAGGGTCTAAGAGGATGCTAACTGGCCTGACTGCCAGGCCCCTCCCGTTTAGGATTCTGTAGGTGTGACATCCTCCCCTCTCACCTCAGGACTAGGTGGGAAGCTTGAATCAGCAACCAGGCCCTGGGTGTGGTAGTGGGTGGGGCCTGAGCTCAAACTTGAGGAGCTGGTCGGAGCCCCGGGAGTAAGCAGGCCTCCTTGGCACGGGCCTCATAGCTCGCCGAAGCCCGCCGGCGAAGCGGGAGAGTCCCTGCGTCCTGGCGAGACCACCCCGGACCCGAAAGAGCTGTGCGGGGAGAACTGTCAGGTGAAAGGTGATCTCAGTTTCCATTTTCTTCCTCCATCCCCGCAGAGCCAGGCCGAGGCACACTACAAGGGTAACCGCCATGCCCGGAGAGTCAAAGGCATTGAGGCTGCCAAGACCCGAGGCAGGGAGCCTGGCCTCCGGGAACCTGGAGACACGGCTCCCACAGGCAGCACCCCCCCAAATGGAGAGGGGGTAGCCCCCCGCCCAGGTATGTCTGACCCTCCTACATTCTTCAGCTGATCCTGTCTCCCCTGAACTCGCCTCTGCTTTCATCTCTCTCCTTCTCAGCCCCCACCTCACCCCCACCCCCACCCAAGGTGAGTCCTGGAGCCAAGTACATTGATGCAAAATTTCCATTCTGTCACCCTACCCCCCACCCAGGTCCTCTTAACAGAGTTCCCACTGTCTATCCTCCCCACTGCCCAGTGACTCAGAGGGGCTAGGGTGAGGCCACCTAGCAGACTTCCTCAAGAAAAAGGGAACCATCAGAACAGGGAGAGGCCCTCCTCTTGGGAAGAAGGGTAGGGGAGAGAGTCAGGATGTCTGAGGACCTGCACGTGAGGGCTGCCCTCAGGGGAAAGACTGCAAGTCCAGGACCCCCAGACAGTTTTATGGATAAATCTTGTGTGGATCTTTTGACCTCTCTGGGCCAGAGTTTTCTTTTCTTTTTCTTTTTCTTTTTTTTTAATATATTTTTATTGATTTTTTACAGAGAGGAAGAGAGAGGGATAGAGAGCTAGAAACATCGATGAGAGAGAATCATTGATCAGCTGCCTCTTGCACACCCCCCATTAGGGATATGCCCGCAACTAAGGTACATGCCCTTGACCGGAATCGAACCTGGGACCTTTCATTCCGCAGGCCGACGCTCTATCCACTGAACCAAACCGGCTGGGCCAGAGTTTTCTTTCCTAGGAAATGGGGGAGTGGAACATTCAGACCTTTGAGGTCTCTTCCGGGTTTACAGAAGGCGACTCTGAGATTCTTTCTCCCTCATGGCCAGTGGCCATCTTCAACCATATTCCCAGCCAAGAAACTGGGAAGAAGGAATATCTTGACTGGAAGATATGAGCCACTCCCATCTCGGGATTACCACATCAGATGTCAGTCACGGCCAAGTCCAGAGAGACCCAGCAGCCTATTTCCTCCTTATCCTTGCCTGTCCTTCCCGCCCCACTAAGCAGAGGGAGAAACAAGCATCTGTACCACCAGCTTGGGAACCAGGCCTCTGCTCAGCATGCTCGCGCGCTTGCACACGCACACGTGCACACACACACACACCTCGGATGCACAGAGAGGGTTGGGCAGGTGAGCTGAGTTTTAACTGTGTTCTGGCCGCGTCTTAGCCTAATCTTCTTGGGTTAATTTGATAACATCTCAGTAAAGTGGGGCTGATGGTGGTGGTAGGCAGCATCTCTTCAATAGCTGTTCTAGGTGCTTTATGCACATTATCCACTTAATTCCTATGGCAATCTCTCTAAAGCACATGTGTCAAACACAAGGCCCGCGGGCCAAATCCGTCCCGCCAGGCCTTGCAATGTGGCCCGCACCGCGCTGTCATCACTGCACTCCGCTGCGTTTCCATCACAATGACAGTTTATGACTGTTCAGTAAACCATTCGGCCCGCGATTTAGGCTGGATTTTAGATTTTGGCCCCTTCTCTGATTGAGTTCGACACCCCTACTCTAAAGAGATCAGGATACCTGCCCTGCTTTTGTAAGCCACTAAGTCCCAATCAGACCAAGATGTGCTGTCTGGATCGAGGTGGCGATAAAGGACGTCAGAAATGAATACGTGAAATAAAGGGAAATGCCACACTGTGCACGAGCAGACGGACACCTGCAGGGGGCAGGAGGTCCCCTCCCATCCGCTTCCCACCCCCCTCGCCGGCCTCCTCGGGAGCCAGCCTCCCCATGACTCGGAAACTGGATCAGCTACTGGAGCCAGAATGGGAGTGCTAGAGTTTCCCCTGTACCAAGGCCAGAACCCGGTGCCGAGGCCTAGGCCTGTGCATCTTTAATCGAGTCATGAATTATAGAGCAGCCTGCATCCTTGTCTCTATCCTCTCCGGTTCTGCTGCTTGTTTCCCTCTTGCTGGGTCTGTGTCTGTCTCTCCTAGCCTCTCCTTGCTCATCCCACCTCTGTGCCTTCCTAGAGTCCGTGGGAATAGGCCTCCGTGGGTTCCGGGCAGGACTCTGGGCAGGGCGCTGGCCAGGCAGGAAGCCCAGGCTGGCTGGCAGGCCACTGAGGAGTGAGTCCTTGTTCCATGCCTCTCCCCCCTGGCGAGGTTGGCCAGCAGCTTCACCCTGGAGGGGACACCAGTGGAGCTAGACCCCCCACGATTCCCAGCTTACAGAGACTGAGCCAGGCCGCACAGTCTCACACCCAGCCTGCAGCAGCTGGACCACATCTGGCTCTGACCCAGGGCATGAGAGCATGCCTGTCGTCACAGGGTGGGGACTCCTGGGCTCTTGCCCTCCAGGAAATGGGGTGGGTCTCCTCCTCATAAAGAATCTCCTCCAAAAGCCACCTGGAGTGACCCCGATGTCTCTCCCCCAACAACAGTTTCCATGGAGAACGGGCAGGGTCCAGCCCCAGGATCTCCAGAGAAACAGCCTGGCTCCCCGTCCCCTCCCAGCGTTCCGGAGACGGGTCAGGGGGCAACCAAAGGTGAAGCGGGGCCTCCAGCTTCAGCTTCATCAGCCTCCCTGCCCGGGGGCAGCAAGGAAGAGGAGGAGAAGGCCAAGCGGCTGCTCTACTGTGCTCTGTGCAAGGTGGCGGTGAACTCCCTGTCCCAGCTGGAGGCACATAACAAAGGTATGGACTCCCCTGCCCCCACCCAGTCCCCTGTCCGCAGCCCATCCTGCTCCCTACATCCTCACTCTCCTAGCTTTGAATACCCTGTACCCCCTAAGATCTACCAGCCTCCCTCCCTCCCTCCCTCCCAAATCCTCTCCCCCGTTCCTTCGTCCCTTCCTTCCTCAGCCCTCCTCCCCACCTTACTCGCTTCCCCTGTGACTTTCCCCTGACCACCCTTTGCTCGCTTGGGTAGGAGGATCCCAAGGGACGTGGGCCCCCCATCCCCCCACGTACACTTGATGCTCCCCATATTGTATGGGGAACGTGGGCATTTGAGGCCTAGGAGTCCCAGAGGCCTTTCCCTTCGCTCCTTACTTTCCGCTCCCTGTGGGTTTCAGGTACTAAGCACAAGACAATTCTGGAGGCCCGAAGTGGGCTGGGCCCCATCAAAGCTTACCCTCGCCTGGGGCCTACCACCCCTGGGGAGCCAGAGGCCCCTGCCCAGGACCGAACCTTTCACTGTGAGATCTGCAACGTCAAGGTCAACTCGGAGGTCCAACTGAAACAGGTGGGTCCGAGGCCCTTCCCAGGAATTCTGGGGAGTCCCGCCCTCCAAGAGGGAAGGAAGAACCGGGAATCTGAGTGAGAATGGGGAACTGGAGTGAGGGCTCTTGTACAGGGTCTGCCCTTGGTGCTGCAGAAGGGGCGGGGCCAGGCGCGCCGGTCTTAGGGCCCTGCCTCCCGGTAGTTGCTCCTTTCCTGGGGGCTCACTGCCCGCTACCCGCTCACCCCTGCAGCACATTTCCAGCCGCCGGCACCGAGATGGCGTGGCCGGGAAGCCCAACCCGCTCCTGAGCCGCCACAAGAAGCCGAGGGGCGCCGCGGAGCTGGCGGTAAGGCCCTGGGGACTGCAACATTCGGAACTGGGGACCCGGTGCCGGGAGAAGAAGGGGCACCCGGGGAGACGTGGGGTTTACGGGGCCAAAGAATGACTTCTCCCTCTCTCTCCCCGCCGCCTCCCCCACCCCTGCAGAGCACGCTGACTTTCTCCAAGGAGCTGCCCAAGTCCCTGGCCGGCGGCCTGCTCCCCAGCCCCCTGGCGGTGGCTGCGGTAATGGCAGCGGCGGCAGGCTCTCCGCTGTCCCTGCGCCCAGCTCCGGCAGCGCCTCTTCTCCAGGGACCGCCCATCACCCACCCCTTGCTCCACCCGGCCCCCGGGCCCATCCGAACGGCGCATGGACCCATTCTATTCTCCCCCTACTGACCGGAGCCCCTGAACCCCCTCCCGCTCAACGCCCCCACCTCCAGCCGGGACCCAGGCCTCCTCCTGGCACTCCCTGAATGATCTCTCTCCTCCCCCCCCCACCCCGAGGTACGGGGTTCCAGGAAAGGGGAGGGGTAGTGGGGGAGGGGGGCTTCAGAAGGGGGGGAACACCCCAGATCTCAGGGAACCCCGCCCCCTGCCCTTTCCTCTCCCCTAGAAAAGGGGGGGCCGTCTCGCCCGGAGCCCCCTTGGAGACACCCCCCCTCCCAAAAGCCATGTCCATCCAGCCCTTCCCCCCAAACCTAGCACAAAACGGGGTTCACAAGCCATGGTCGGGGTCCGGGGGAGGGCAGAAATGGATTTTTCTTGGCAATAAGCGGACTCCGGGACTCCGGCCCCCCTACCCCAACATTGAAGCGCTTCCGTGAACACCTTCGTCCTCCGCAGCGGGAGGGGAAGAGGCGGGATCCCTCATAAGCACTTTGGTTTTACCGCCTGCAGCCTCACTGTGCCCGCCCGCTCCACGCTCCTGCCCCAGGCCTAGCCGGGCCCCTCGCAGGTGCAGCCCCGGGAGGCATCTCTGGCACTTGGGTGGGACCAAGTAGATGCCCCTATAGGCCCTTCCCTCCCCTCCCTCCCCAGTCCGGGTTCCATTCTTCTCACCAGCACCCATCGCCCAAGGGGTACTGAGGGGGGCAAGGGGTGTCCAGTCCAAGCCCACCCCCGCCTCGCCTTCCGCAAAACTGTGAGCAAAAAGCAATAGAAGCCTCGCCCCCGCCCCCTCCCCCCTTTCCGCAGGATTTGCAGTCTGTAGCCTCCCCCATCCCAGTCCCCAGACCTACGAGCTGTCCCCTCCCACCAGGCACCACACAGTACGACTTGGGCGGGGGCGTGAGCTCCCCCAACCCCCTGTGATTTCCGTATTGTCATCCCTTCCACACACTGACCCGGGAGGGGGACGGCCCCCCCACTGGCCTTCAACTCTTTCTGCTTGATGATGTAGCAACTCTCTCCCCGACCCATGTCTTTCCCTTCTCCCTCTCCCTGACAATAAAGTCTGGATTCGTTGCCCTCTGTTCTCCAGACTCAGGCTCTCAATCTTTGCCCACAGTTTTGGGGAGCAACAACACAGGGATGTGTATCTGTGTGATGACGGAGACTGGCACACAGGGAATGGGATCAGAAGGACGGGGTTAGGGAAATGGGGGTGGAAGGAGGCAAGATCTGAGGCTTGTGCAAAGCGAGCAGGGGTTCCCCATCCCACTCACCACCACCACCCCTTTTCCCCCAGTCCAGCTCAAGTGTAAACTTGGCCTTGGGGAATCATTCTGAGCCCAGGTCTCAGATAGCAGCCAGGGCTGTTGCAAATTCTCTGCAACTCCACCAGGCGGCGCCAAACACATAAAAAAGGAGTTCCCTAGTCTAAGACTCTCCTGCAGCGTGTCTCACGAATCTAGGGAGACAGATCTAGACCTGGTCTCAGATAAAGGAAAGAAACACGATTTTTGTGCCCATGGCGGAAAACCCACGCCAGAGACACTTGAGGCATGAGAAATGGGGGCAGGGAATGGGAATCTGAGCTCTATGCTCTGCTTGGCCCCATATAATAGTTTCCTTGGGTTAGTCCTTCCCCTCTCTGGACCCCAATTTCCCCATCTGCAAAATAAGCAGATTTGGGACTCTTAAAAATTTATTGAGGCTTCATGTATCCAAGACCAAAAAACTGGGATCATGCTATTTACAGAGATGCTAGAATGAATACCTTTGGTCTCCTAGTTGGTCTGTGGGACAGGAGAGCACACCCCTCTCTTGTATAACGGGGGTTGGGGGACAGAGGTGTCCTATTTTCCAGAACCCCCAGAATTCAGTTCAACCACACGCTCCCAAGAATAGCTAGTGACTCTGTGACCCCTCCCGCTATCCCTGCTGGGTGAGAAAAAAAAGATCAAACAAAAAAAGACCAGATGAGCCATGGCTCAGTTGGTTGGCGTGTCCTCCCGCACATAGAAAGATCATGGGTTTGGCACTAGCTGGTCTGGCTCAGTGGGTAGAGCATCAGCCTGTGGACTCAAGGGTCCCAGGTTCGATTCCGGTCAAGAACATGTACCTTGGTTGCGGGCACATCCCCGTGGGGAGTGTGCAGGAGGCAGCTGCTCAATGTTTCTCTCTCATCGATGTTTCTAACTTTCCCTCTCCCTTCCTCTCTGAAAAAAATCAATTTTATAAAAAAGAAAAAAAGAAAAGAAAGGACATGTGTTTGATTCCTGGTCAGGGCACATACCCAGGCTCAGGTTCGACCCCTGGTCTAGGTGTTACGAAAGGAAGGCAGCTGGTCTCTGTCTCTATCTCTCCCTCTCCCTTCCTTTCTCTCTAAATCAGTAAGAACATCTCAGGTGAGGACTAAAGAAAGGCCCTGGGAGGGGTGGGTACAGAGTGGAGGGGGTCAATAGGAAAAAAATGGGAGACATCTATAATACTTTCAACAATAAAGTTAAGCCTTTTTTTTTTTTTTTTTTTTTTTTTTTTAAGGCCAGACTAGCCCTAGCTGGTTTGGCTCAGTGGATAGAGCATTGGCCTGTGGACTGAAGGGTCCTGGGTCGATTCCAGTCAAGGGCATATGCCTGGGTTGTGGGCTTGATCCTCAGTGTGGGATGTGCAGGAAGCAGCCGATCAATGATTCTTTCTCATCAATTATTGATGTTTTCTTCTCTCTCTCTCTCTCTCTCTCTCTCTCTCTCTCTCTCTCCCTTCCTTTCTGAAATCAATAAAAAAAAAATTTTTTTAATTAAAAAAAAATACCACACCAGAACACAGAATGGCATGGGGTCCTCCTGAGTTTCATCTTTGTACGTTTTCCTCTTTACCCCCTTTTTAGTCTTAAAGAAATCTATTCCCCTTTCCTTCCTTAAAGAGGAAGGAATAGAAGCTTCCTAGATTTGTCAGCTTGGAATTACTGTGGGTTCATAAATGGCACCTAACAAGTACTTTTGGGTTTGCTTGTTTGTGTTAGGTCTTTTCAGCTAAAAATAATCTATAATATATCATAAAAGCCTAAGCAACCATTATGGAGGAACGACCTGAACCACCTGTGGATGATGCGCACTGACCACCAGGGGGCAGACATCCGATGCAGGAGCTGCCCCCTGGTGGTCAGTGCGCTCCCACAGGGGGAGCACAGCTCAGTCAGAAGCCCAGCTTACCCCTGGAGAGCACAGCAGCGTGGCAGGAGTCTCCCACCCAGGAGGCAGCACTAAGGAGCAACAATCTGAACGCAGTAAAGAGCTAAGGAGCAGCAAGCCAAGCGTAAGTGAGGGATCCGGGATTGCAAGAGGGATGTCCGCCAAGGGGTCTTGGATTGCAAGAGGACACGGGCTGTAGTGAGAGACTCCCTTACCCCCATCTGCAGTGCACGAGTTTCATGCACTGGGCCTCTTGTAATGATAATAATTACCGGCAGAGACTGCATATCCAGAAGTCTTGCCCTATATATCCAGAGAAGCAGGGTCCGGGTCACATGTGGGGAGAGAGAGGGGTGCTGGAAGAGATTGGGGTAAGAGGAGCGGGGATACTAGCATCGTCCACAACCACCTCAAACCTAGTCTAAAGCTGACTTCATGATTTAACCCGACCCTAAACCTATCCCGCTCCCCACAGTCCCTCTTATTAAGAGCACCACCATCCACCTGGAAAACTGGGGTTCATCCTAGTCTTCCTTCTTTCCAACCCTTCATCACTAAGCCACTAAAGGAGTCACTACATAAGTCCTATTGACTTCTTAACTTACAGGTCCTGATCTCTTCTCTACCCCAACCACTGCCCTAACCAGGACTGGCCACATAATTTGTGGGGTCTAGTGCAAAATAAAAAAAAAATTAAAAAAGCAGGACCCCATGTTCAAAAAAGATCTCAAGATAGTGACTGCAGAACATTAAGCCAAGCACTTTACCTTGGTCCAGTGCAATGAACAGGTAGCACGCTCATGAAGTTGACTCGGGCCCTAGTTCAGGCCCTGCCTGTCTCTTGTCAGAACTGCAGTCCCTCTACTGCTCTCTCTCATTTCAGGCCTGCATGCTTTCACTTTTTAAAAAAAAATATATTTTATTGATTTTTACAGAGAGGAAGGGAGAGACAGAGAGTTAGAAACATCGATGAGAAAGAGTCATCGATCCATTGGGGATATGCCCGCAACTAAGGTACATGCCCTTGACCAGAATCAAACCCGGGACCCTTCAGTCCCCAAGCCGACGCTCTACCCATTGAGCCAAACTGGTCTCGGCTGCTTTCACTTCTTACTCGCAGCTATCTTAGTGCCAGTCTGCATCACCTTTGAGTGGTACCCCAGCTGCTGCCCTGACTGGTGCGGCTCAGTTGGTTGAGCATCATTGGTTGCCGGTTGGGTTCCCAGCTAGGACACATGCTTGGTTTGCAGGTTCAATAAGGGGCAAGTGGAGGACAGTTGATTGATGTTTCTCTCCTCCCTTTCTCTCTAAATTCAAGAAAAATATTAAAAACGACAACTACCACCAAAAAAAATCAGAAAAACATACAAAACACCCAGCTCCTCAGTATGATACACAAGGCCTTTCTTTTCTTTTCTTTAAATGTATTTTATTGATTTTTTACAGAGAGGAAGAGAGAGGGATAGAGAGCTAGAAACATCAATGAGAGAGAATCATCGATCAGCTGCCTCTTGCACACCCCCCACTGGGGATGTGCCCGCAACCAAGGTACATGCCCTTGACTGGAATCGAACCTGGGACTTTTCAGTCCTCAGGCCAATGCTCTATTCACTGAGACAAACCGGTTTTGGTGACAAGGCCTTTCTTGATCTCAACCTTGCTCTCCTCTCTAGGATCTTCTCTGTTGCTTCTTACCTCACACTTTTCGTTCACCTCTACTTAAACTTCTGTGACTCTCTGCACCTGTTCCCTTTGTCTCAAATGGCCTACCTGTGCTAGGATATCACATGGGACTCTGACTTGAACCATCACCAAGTCGTGGAGAGAGGGAAGGCAGTACTCCCCAAAAACAAAGTCAAGGCCTCTGGGGTACCCGGAATGGCGCCTGGAACTTGGTCTTGTCTGTTGGCCCCTTGAGAAGTGGCCGGATGTCCTGGTGCTCTGTCTCCATACCTCAGCAGTTCTTGGCAATGACCTTATGGGTGCTCTGCTATGTAAAGAGAGGAAGGAAACGGAGCGTGGGCATCAGAAAGGAGAAAGGAAAGAATTTGTATGGCTTTGGGGTTAGTAGCAGGGGAATTTCAACAGAGAAGCCCAGATTTCACTAGCTAGAACAGAACAAGCAGAACCAGAGACGAGGAAGGAAGTGGCCCAGGTTGGGTAAGTAAGGAGTTTCTTATTCTTTCAGCCTAGTATAAGAGACCGGAAAGCAGGGCTCCTCCTGTTTGAAGCCCGACTGCCCACTAGAAAGGACGGCCCTTGGAGTGAGTTTGATTTCTTCTCCCATTGGAGAGAGAACTGAAGGCTGGGAGACTCGGGTGAGTAATTTTGTGGCGGGTGTCCTTTTCTTCCTGTCTCTGCATCTCAGAGGCAGTAACAACAGGGAAAAGAAAAGAGAGAAAAAATTGAGGCCAGCATGTGTGTGTAGCAAGGAGCAGCAGAGAGAACTAAGGCAGTGTCCTGGATACAGACAGGGGACTCCTGGGTGGCCTTAGAGGAAAGGGGAGGAATAAAAGATGTTGGAGAGACTGGGGTATGTGAATAGATATGGAATAAAGCCCGCAGTTTGAAGTGTACAGAGACTGAGATATATAGATAAGAACTTGAGAGAGCCGAAACCGGTTTGGCTCAGTGGATAGAGAGTTGGACTGGGGACTGAAAGGTCCCAGGTTCGATTCCGGTCAAGGGCATGTACCTTGGTTGCGGGCACATCCCCAGTAGGGGGTGGGGGGAGGTGCAAGAGGCAGCTGATCCATGATTCTCTCTCATGGATGTTTCTAACTCTCTATCCCTCTCTCTTCCTCTCTGTAAAAAATCAATAAAATATATTTTAAAAAGAAAAGAAAAGAAAAAAGAAAAAGGACAAATAAAAGAACTTGGGAGAATCATTGAGAACGGGAAAGGACTAACAGGGTTGGGAGTCTTGAGACGAAGAGGCCTGGGAATGGCTCAGGTGGCTGGTGCCCAGGGACCAGAGTAGTTCGGGAGATCTAAGTTCAAAGCCAAGCTCTGACTCCCTCTTCCTCGTCCTCTCACTCCCTTCAGCCTCCATCATGTGGAACACCTCTGATGTCAACTTCTCCTGCTACCATGAGTCTGTGGTGGGCTATCGCTACGTGGCAGTTGTCTGGGGGGTGGTGGTGGTGGTGACGGGCACCGTGGGCAACGTGCTCACCCTGCTGGCCTTGGCCATCCAGCCCAAGCTCCGTACCCACTTCAACCTGCTCATCGCCAACCTCACGGTGGCCGATCTGCTCTACTGCACCCTTCTGCAGCCCTTCTCCGTGGACACCTACCTCCACCTGCACTGGAGGACTGGCGCCACTTTCTGCAGGGTGTTTGGGTTCCTCCTCTTCACATCCAACTCCGTCTCCATCCTCACCCTCTGCCTCATCGCCCTGGGACGCTACCTCCTCATTGCCCGCCCTAAGCTCTTTCCCCAAGTGTTCAGCACCAAGGGGATAGCGCTGGCTCTGGTGGGCACCTGGGTGGCGGGGGTGGCCAGCTTTGCCCCGCTCTGGAACGTCTATATCTTGGTGCCCGTCGTCTGCACCTGCAGCTTTGACCGCATCCGAGGCCGACCCTACACCACCATCCTCTTGGGCATCTACTTTGTGCTTGGGCTCAGCAGCGTCGGCATCTTCTACTGCCTCATCCACCGCCAGGTGAAGCGAGCGGCACAGACGCTGGCGCAGTACAAGCTGCACCAGGCCAGCGTCCGCTCCCACCACGTGGCTGGCGCGGAGGAAGCCGTGCCGGGTCGCTTCCAGGAGCTGGACAGCGGGGTGGCCTCAGGAAGGCCCAGCGACGGGATCTCATCTGAGCCAGCCAGTGCCGCCACCACCCAGACCTTGGAAGGAGACTCGTCAGAAGTGGGGGACCAGAGCAGCGGCAAGGCAGCTCAGCAGACGGCAGAGAAAAGCCCTCCGGAGGAGGCACCTGCCAAGACCAGGCCCGCGAAAGGAGCCCAAAAAGCTCAGGACTCTCCATCAGAGTCTGGGAAGGTGACCCGGATGTGCTTTGCTGTGTTCATCTGCTTTACCCTGTGCTACATCCCTTTCTTGCTGCTCAACATCCTGGATGCCAAGGTCCGGGCTCCCCGGGTTCTCCACATGCTTGCCGCCAACTTCACCTGGCTCAACGCGTGCATCAACCCCGTGCTCTACGCAGCCATGAACCGCCAGTTCCGCCAAGCGTACGCCTCCGTGCTACGACGAGGCCCCCAGAGTTTCCGTCGGCTCCAGAGTTTCCGTAAGCTCCGTTAGAACTGGGCTCGGCACCGGAATCTGAGGCTCTTTCATCCAGGACTAGAGCGGCCAGCTGGCATGGAGCAGATGAAAGGAAAACCTGTGCGCATTTTCACGGGCAACCTCCCCTTGACCCCCAAACCGGACCTCTCCGTCCCTTGCTCAGTGTTTCAGCCCCCGGCTGCCCAAGGTGCATTATTCATTATTAATAAATGAGTTCATCCTTTTAATGCTCAGATGTGGTCTTTGGGGGAGGAGGAAATAGGCCAGTGTTGCTTTGCAGCTGGAATTTAATCGTGAAGTGTTTGGGGGGACCCAGGTCAGAGCAGGAGCAGGAAGCAGTGGGCCTAAGACATGGCTATGTCTTCAGCTGAGGAGTTTCCAGGTGAAAAAAAACAAACAAACAAAAACAAGCATGTGAGTTTGGTTTCAGAGGATTAGCCTGTCTTTTTTATTTATTTTTTTAATTGATTTTTCACAGAGAGGAAGGGAGAGGGATAGTCAGAAACATCGATGAGAAAGAAACATCGACCAGCTGCCTCTTGCACACCCCCACTGGGGATGTGCCTGCAACCAATGTACATGCCCTTCACCGAAATCGAACCCAGGACCTTTCAGTCCGCAGACCGACGCTCTATCCACTGAGCCATACCGGTTTCGGCAGCCTGCCTTTTTTTAACTTCTCAGAAATGGCTCCTACCCCTAACTACTGCTGCCAGGATCCCCCTCATCCCTGCAAACAGATGTTTTGCAGTTCAAAAAAAAATTTTTTTTTTAAATTCAGCTTTGATAACCACTTCAAGTGAGGCTAGCCCCCTGACTCTTCATTTATCCAACGAGAATGACCATGGAGAGGACTCTCGTGGGTGGAAATGAAACTGAGCTCAGCAGAAACAATGACAGTTCTAGTTGCCCTGGCAGGGTCACACTGGTTGGCGCTAACTCACCTGACCCCTCACTTCCCCAGACTTGCTCTTGTCTGCCTGGGTTATGAAAGCAGAACAGAGACCCTCGTTAAGAGGGCTCTGGGGCCAGGCTGAGGGGAAATCATACCATGCCCTTCCTCCAGCATCCTGTCACCGACTGCAGGCACACTCTCCAACCTAAAGCACCTTGACCACCAGGTGACGCTGGTTCTCTGCGTTTTCTCTCTGGCTTCCCTGTGGAGCACAGGCGGCGTCAGAGGGACTGGGCGGCCAGAGATCCCCGCTCCCCTCTCTGCCAGCAGGGGTGGAGACCCCGGTATCTGCACCCCTCGCTCTTCCTCAAATGTAGGGAGAAAAGTAAGGAATTAATTATACATGTATTATTCATGAGATGTTTACTGTGCACAGTACTTGGATCAGGGTGGGCATTCGGGGTGGAAGATGAGTCATGTCGACAGCAACACTGCTCTGGCTGCATGCTGTCCCCTCCCCACCCCCAAGGCCATGGACTGGGAGAGCAAAGTCAATTCCAGAGAGAGATAGATAGTGGGGTAGACAGATCTATATGCTCACATTTAACATACTCCAAGGGCCCAGGAATCCTGCTTCCTAATCTGGAACATGTGCTTCTGAAGTGTCCTCTTCCACAAAAACCACAGCAGCCTAAGCGGAATCAAATTCAGGCGTTCAAGCTACTGGGGTCCAGGCAGGCCGAATGAACAAGGACCAAAAACAGCACATGCCCAGGAGTGGAGAGACCAGGGTCAGTCCAGGGTCCCTGATAATTAGCTCTGTGAATCTGGGCAGGCCCCTTGACCATTCTGGGCCTCAGGCTTTATTATCTGTACAAACATGAGGGAGGAGTGCCCTCTTTTATGTGCCCCAGTAATGTCCTAAGTCCTGTAAATATATTTTGTGTAATCCCCACAAAACTTACCATAAGGCATCTATTATAATATCTTGTTTTCAAAGGAAAAATAAAAAGCAACACAATCTGGGTTAAGCAATTTGTCCAAAGTCAAAAGGCTATTAAGTGGTATGACCATGATTTGAGGGCAGAGAGTCTGACCTCAGTCAGTACCAGCCCAGGTGTCTAACAGCAGCCTTTCTAAAACCAGACTCACTCCAGCCAGTTGGGCTCGGTGGATAGAACGTCAGACCTCGGACTGAAGGGTCCCAGGTTCTGTCCGTGCAGGTCAAGGGCATGCACTTCAGTTGCAGGCTCATGCTCAGGCTGGTTGGGTGTGTGGAGGAGCCAACCAATCAATGTGTCTCTCTCACCTCAATGTTTCTCTCTTTCTGTCTCTCCCCCTCCCTCCACTCTCTTAAAATCAATGGAAAATATCCTCACGTGAGGATTAAAAAACAACAATAAGCCCTGGCTGGTTTGGCTCAGTGGATAGAATGTCAGCCTGTGGACTGAAGGGTCCCTGGTTTGATTCCTAGTCAGGGCACATGTCTGGGATTCGGGCTCAATTCCCCAGTGTAGGGTGAGCAGGAGGCAGCCAATCAATGATTCTCTTTCATCATTGATTTTCTAGCTCTCTTTTCCTCTCCTTCTTCTTTGAAATCAATTAAAATATATTTTAAAAACAACAAAACAATAAAAGTAAAATCAAGTGACCAATTAACCTCTAAAAGTATTATACCTTCTAAGATTCTGAAAGTTGACAATTCTCTGAAGGTTTGTAAAGTGTCCCGTTTTCACATTCCATGAAAGCAATTTAAAAGTGTTAGTGAGTAGAAATGAACAGCAATAGGGATTGAGGTTAGACCTCAGGAGGGACTTCCCAATTATCAGTCGCTGGGGGCGGGGGGGGGGGGGGAATGACTCAAAGGGACACAGAAAGGCACCCTGGAGCCTGAGACTGAGAAGACAGATCTTAGCAAGAAAACACCCCCTTCCTCCCTCACCTTCCACAGTTCATACATCGAAATTGGGTTGGGGGGGCCTCCCCCAGCCCAACCTAATTTCATTAGAGCCGAGGGAAAAGAGAGATTCCCTCTCAGGCTTCCTCTCTTTTGGGTGTACATTGTGCGCATGAGTCCAGCCTTAAGTCCATCACGATGCGGAGCCCACGCGTGTCTGGGGGAGTCTATGCATGGGGCGGGGGTGTTCCTGAGTGTGAGTCAGTGTCTGTCTCCTTTATCTGTCTGCCTCCCGCCCGAGCCCTCTCCCTGGCTTCCTGACGCTGTCTCTCAAGGCTTCTCTTTGTCTCTCTCCATCTGTCCGTCTGTCCTGCAGGCTGTCTTCACCTCTTAGTACCTATGTTGTCGCCTTTTTACGCATAAACTCCTTCTCTCCCTCCTCCCGCTCCGCCCGCCTTCCCCGCACCCGCTCCGCTCGCGCCCCTCCCGCCGCCGCCCGCGCCTCCGCCCCCGCCCGCGCCGCTCTCGCTCGGCCGCACACTCTCTCTCCGCCGCTGTCTCTTTCAGGCAGATTTATGGTCAGCCGCGGGCCTCTCATTGGCTGAGCGCTGACAGGACTTGATTTAGCGCCGCCTCTCATTGGCTGCGCTTGACAGGCCGATTTACGAGTCACTCTGCCATTGGCCAAGCTGCCTCGGCCCTGATTTACGGCCCAGTGACTGCGGGGAAGGGGGGCGCCGCCGGGGAGCGAGGACGCCCCTCCCCTCACCGCGGCTTCCGCCCCCTCTCCCCCTTTTCTCCTCGCTCTCCCTCCCCTCAGCACCGCGCTCCCGCTATCTGTGCCTCAGCGCCCCCTCCCTCCTCCTCCACCCAGCGGGAGGGGGAGATGGGGGGACTGAAGCCGAGGGGGGGGTGTGGAGGGGGTACCTATGGGCGGCGGAAGCTGAGGGGTGGGAGTGGGGGGGAGAAGAGACGATGGAAGAGGGAGAGAGGATACTGAGCCCCAAAACTAAGGGGAAACTGAGGAGGCCAAAGGGATGATTAAAAAAAAAAAAAAAAAAAAAAAAGGCTGAGGAGAAAAGACTGGGGGAGTGAAAGGGGAAGTGAGGTGAGGAGGAGAAAGGACATTGAAAAGAAAGGGCTGAAGCGGGGAGATGCGGGAGCTGAGAGGCTCCTTCCCAAGCAGCATTATCCAGATGGAATAAGCCGGGAAATCTGCTCTTCAGACAATGGCTCCGAAAGGGCGAGGATGAGAGGAGCCAAGACTTAGGGCAGTGGTCGGCAAACTCCTTAGTCAACAGAGCCAGATGTCAACAGTACAACGATTGAAATTTCTTTTGAGAGCCAAGTTTTTTAAACTTAAACTTCTTCTAACGCCACTTCTTCAAAATAGACTCACTCAGGCTGTGGAAGAGCCACATGTGGCTCTCGAGCCGCTGTTTGCCGATCATGGACGTAGGGGAAAGCTCAATAGAGAGGTGCGAGAGAGCAGGAAAGGAGAACTAGAAAGTGATCACAAAGAAGAGAGGGAGGAGGATGAGAACTGACGGAGAAGACAGCGCTAAGGTGGTTTTGTTTGCGGGGCCAGGGGTAGTGAGAAAAGTCTAAGCCCCAGAGGGACTATTGAGAGAAACAGCCATCCCTCCCCTCAGTGAAGACCCGGAGGTGCTGGCCAGAGGGGGACAGTCCGGTGCACCTGCATACGTTGTACTTCCCCAAGGTTGCAGCAGGCTCCCCATTCCCCATACACTCACTCCTCCCCCTTGCCCATCTCCCCAGTCAAATTTATGAGAGCAGGGCTGGCCTTCAGGAATTAGGTATACGTATTTATGCTTCTTGGAGAGTGAGGTTTGGAAGGTGATAAATAAGGAACGGAGGGGTGCAGTTGGGAGCCCCTATTTTTAGCCTGACCACTTTCCCAAGGCCCTCACCCACCCTCTCCCTCTCATCCTGAGCCAGAGAAGGGAGCCCTGAGGGAGGTGGAGAATGAGATTCACATATCAGGCAGGGGCTTGACTCCTGGAGAGCCCCTCGGAGGACCACAGATCTTTGCAGCAGAAAGGATTGAAGGCAGATGGGAGAGGAACTTTCCAAGCATCCGGCATTCACATAGCCCCCGGAGTGCAGTTACAGCATTTCTGCAGAAGATAGAGAGAAATCAGGAGAAACCAGCTTCCCCTCTGCTGCTCTAAGCTCAGTTGCTGAGGAATAGAAAAATTGCCAGGAAATTCAGAGGCAGGTTTCTTTGGCAAGTCACCTCCCTCACGGGGAGAAAGATTTAAAATCTTCCACCCCCACCCCCACACATCACAACCTGGGTCCCTGGGAAAGGAGGCTAGGAATGTGGGGCTGGGGCATCGCCTAGGAGCCTCAACCCTCAACCAGCCCACCCCCACCGCTGGTGGGGATTTAAAAAACCCTGGCCCTGGGCCTCCAGGAAATGAGGGAGGAAAGAGGATCTGTCCAGGGATCCACATGCCTTCCCCAGCACTCAGCTCCAACAGCCTCGCGCTGTGACCCCAGCCCAGTCAGAGGGCTTGCTCTGGGCTTGGGTAAGTAGTGAACAAAAATGGGGTCCCCAATATAAGGGGAGGGGGCGTCTAAAGAGAACAGAGAGAGCTAGGGAAGAGCTCTCCCCGCAAAGCACACACAAGCAAGCCTGTGGGTATGCGGGCACGCACATACACACACCAGACTGTGCTGCTTAGAGAGGGAGAAGGGAAGGAGAGAAGGGTCTAGACTGGCCCTTTAAGAGCCACTTAGGGTCAGAAAGCCTGGACTACAGAAAGGGGAAGGAGCTGATGTCAGAAGACGGATGGGCAGCAAGATGGGGATTGATGCTAATGGGGGAGTTAAAGCTAAGTACCCAGACACTCAGAGGGCAGAACTGCAGATCTGTCTTCCTTATGCTCACCACCCCCTCCCCAAACCACGGCTGTAAATCTGCCTTCTCAATTGGGGGGAGGGGGAGTGAGGAAAAAATGAGAATCTTTTCTTTTTTCCTATTTTATCCTTTCCCTGCGCCACCCCTCCCCCCCAATTCTTTTGTACTCTCTCAGTCTTTCCCCCCACCCCCACCCCCCATTTATAACCCCTTTGCTCTGAAATTTCCAGAGTTTGGCTTTCCATCAGCATCCGAAAGAATGGTTCCAGCTTGTGAAGCATTTAAAAGAAAATCACAAGTCTCCGCTCCCAGACCCGGATGGGATGGGTTGGTGGGACTGTGGTGAGACTGGTAGGCTGGAAGCTCTCGGGTACCTCAGTTTATCTGCCCCCCACCCTCTTCTCAGGTGGAGGTAACTCTAGCAGCTTCCTCCCAGGGCAGGAGGGTGACGGCGAGAAGCAGGGTATTGGGTGCTGGGAGCTGAAAGGGGTGTGAGGGCTTCTGAGTTGGGTTTGTGGAGGCTTCTGATCCCCTGAGATGTTGGAGGCGCTGGTGGGCCTCCAAGGACAGCTAGGAACGCTGCAGGAGCTGTCCACGAAAAGATACATGGTCTGGTTTCTCGGAAACCCCTGGATCGCACCGTTCCCTCTCTGAGCACATGCGCTGCCTGCTGAGTAGAGAAAATTTCAGGCCAATCATCCGCTGTAAAGGCAGGGTCCGGCCACTCCTCACACCTCTTCGGAGGCAGTGGGGGGTCTCGGGAAGGAAGGCTGCCTCAGAGGGATGGAGCTAGTAACCCATGTCTCCCTTTCCTCCAGGGGAGACCCTCTCTCCCATCTTTCTGGACCAAGAATCATCTTTCTCTCTCCCTCCTGGTAATCAGGGCCTGTTCTTGAGAGAAGTTCCTCTATTTTAGAGGAAGTCCCTCTCCATCTCATCTGTTGCAGTGCTAAACCTGAACTATTTTCTGGGCCTGGAAATAACCGTTGCCTGATTGCTACCTGGTTTCCAAATCCTCCTCCGTTAGCCATAAGAGAATAGCCCTAAGACACCCATCTCCTCCCAGGTTCTCCTTCAGAGGCCTAAAGTCATATAGAGGCATCCTCTCTCTGTGCCCTAAGTTTCCAGGGACAAGGAAGAGAACGAGGTTGGAATGGGAAAAGGCAGGGGTTGTTAGCAAGAGCCACTGGGACCCAGGCTCCCAGCCTCCCAGCATCTGGTGAAGCACTCCCTCCCAGCCCAGGGAGGTCAGCCATTGCCCTTGCCCTGGTCTCTGGCTGCTTCTCTATCCCGGTGATAAATCCTGTCTTTGTCTCCCCTCCAACCTGGGCCCCAGCCAGCTAAGGGTAAGAGGCTGGGGGGAGGGTCACTGAGGAGAAGAGTGGGAGGAGAAGATGGACAGGAGCAGCTGGTGAGCAGGCCTGGGGTGGGCAGTGAGAGGATGGGGCCTCTCGAGTCTATAGATTCTGACTGCACATTCCAGGAGGTCTGCATTCCAGGATTCCTGAGGAGTGGAAATACCTTGGGAATGGCCCCTGCAGCATCAGGAATGCTGGGAAATGGGTTGGTGTGGGGTGCCTCAAGGAGGGAGGCTCCTGAAACAAATGGGAATGAGGATATGGTGGGAATCATCCCTGTGCCCACCACCAACCCCTGCACACATGTGCAGTGCGTGCATGCACATGGATGGGCAGACAGACACAAGTGTGCACACACACAGATTTATGGCCCATCCGAAGGAGGGAGTGAGCCCAGGAGAGCCAGCCTGACCCATGCCCAGCCCTCCCCAGCTGCCTTCTCCAGCTGTGACTTTCCTGTCTTCATCTCTCCATTCTTCTTCTCTGCTCCCAGTTTTGCTGTTGTTTCTGTTTCTCTCACTCTCCCAGCTTGTTATGCTGGCTTCCTGCTAACTCTTAGCCTCTGCCCCTTTGTCTCCCCATCACGTTTTCACTCTCACTGTGTTTCTCTTTTGACCTTCCTGTCCTTCCCATACTTCACTGGACTCTCCACCTGTCCTGTCTCTGCCCTCTTCGGCCCAGCCATTCCCCTACCTCACCTCCACCCTAGAGACCAGGGGGACAGTCGGATTTCAAGGAGGGAAGGGAAAGAGAAAAGAGGCTCTGGGGGAGCCCTGCCTTGGTGGGCAGCCTGGGATCATATTGTGTTATGATATGGGATGAGAGTGGCAGGGGGAGGGAGCAGGTGACCAAGATAGTTCAACGAAGAGGGAAGGGGTGAAATGGGAGGGGAGAGAGATTTATAAAGGCATAAAAGAGAGAGGGAAAGGAGTAAGAATTTCCTTAAAGTGTGTGTTTGAGGTCTAGAGAAGAGGAGCTGAGGGGCATCTACTGAGTCATATTGAGACACAGATCCAGAGACAAGATCTGGAAACCAGCCAGAGAAACAAAGGTATTATGTCTACTGGGCAGCCACAGCTCTGAGCTCCCTTGCCTACCTGGGAAGATCTCTGAGCCCTCTTTCTCCTCTGCAGTGCGGGAGTGCTGGTTCCCTCCCCGCTCACCTCCTCCTCCCTGACCACCTCCCCTCCCCGCCACTGAGAATGACATCAGCCCTGGCTGCCGGACTCTCCCATGGGGGAAACAGGCCAGTCACCTCCGCCCCACCCACTCCTCCTCCAGGCCAGGGGCTGGGGCTCCCAGCCGTCCCCGGAGAGGGAGTGGGAGGAGGCAGCACCAGAAAAGCCTCTGCAGGACGAGGTGGAAAAGAGGGGAGGAGCACGGGCACCAGGGGAGGAAGAGGAGCTGAGGGGCACTGAGGAAGAGGGGCTGTGGTACTAAATCACCCTGTGGGGGGCTCTTTCTGCCTGAGCTCAGTGGGGTGGGGAAAGGATAGACATTTGGGGAGGGGGGAGAGAAGAATGAGGAATCGCCACATCTGGCAGGCAGGTGTCTGGCACTGTTCAGGCTGCAGTCACTTTCCCAGCCAAAGAGGAGGAAGGGGGCGCGGGGAGGAGGGGCTTCCCAGGATCCCCTGGGGAAGAGGGAAAGGCTCATAAACACAGACCAGAGGCCCTGAATCAGACAGAAAGGGACCAAAGGAGGGAGATAATCAGACCCTGCTCCCCAGGCTCTGCTTAGTCAGTGCTGGGGATGATTGGCTCCTAGTCTTGAAAGAAAATTGTTGGCCGGAGGACTGGGTAAGTCAGGGAACCAGAGTTCCATTCCCAGTGGGAAACAGAAGGCAGGAAAAGTTCAAACCAGGCCAGGCTGGGAAAACAAGCTCTGAAAAATTTCCAATTTGAGAACTGGAGAGAACTCCATTGTCCACACTGTCAATGATCAGCACCTACCAATTCTCACCCTGACGTGCCTCCTGACAGGGTCAGCGCTGAGTGATGAGCAGGAAGATCAGGATGGTGATGCCCGACAGCGCTCCATCCCATTGCAGACAGGCAGACACATACCTAGCCATCATCCAGCCCCTGTATCCCAAATTTCAACGCAGACTGCAGGGATGGCATATCCACGCATTTTCTATCTGCTGAGGGGGACCCCGAGCATAGGTGCCCCATAGCTGCTCAGCTTAATCACCAGGTCCTCACGGAAGAGTAGGCAAGACTGGACAACGCTAGGTTTCAATGTCTTGAAGCTGGAGAGGCTCATTACATTCTTTCCCTCGCCCTTTCCTATCAAAGGTCCTAAATGCGGTTTCTCTTGCTGAATTCTGGAATTGCAGGCCCATTTTATGAGCTGCAGAGGTGACTGAGAAGGAGACCCTTCACACAGCAATGCAGAGAAGAGTTCCCCACACTTTCCCCTCCTTAAAATCCTGCAGAGGAAGGGGGAAAGAAAACCAAAGCATTCTCTTGTCGCCGCGGCAACCATAAAATCCCCAGCTAAATCCATCTTGTGAGCTCACTGCCCCATTAAGATGCAGGGCCAGGCTCTGCGCCAGCCCAGCCACATTCATTTGTGAGACTAAAGGTGCAGGAGGGGGAGGGGAGCGGGCTCTGGAGGGAAGGGGAAATGGCGAGAAGAGGTTATTTACACCACCGTCCTGACCTTCTGGAGCAGCACTGGCTCCGATAAATAACCCGCTCAGCGCCATTTCAGAGCAGGAGTGGGAGGCGCAGGAAGGGAGCAGGGTCTGGAGGAGAGCCCCCACGCAGGTGCTCGTCTCCGGGTTACTAATGGCTGAGGCGGGAGCAGGCAGCTGGCTTTGGGGGGGATGGAGGAGAACTCAGTTCCCTGGGTCTCCCACTGAGAAAATACTATCCCACCCCACCCCTGGCGCCAATTTCCAGGCAAGGGGACTGAGAGATGCCAAGGAGGCAAACAGGCCAGTAAATTAGGGATGGCAGTGATGGTGGGGGAGAGTGCTGGGGAGTCTCTGAGGTAAGAGGGAAGAAATATTGTAAGATGGGGAGAGGGGGGGAATGCTAGAGGAATAGGAGCAGCTGCCAAAAAGAGAGCAAGAGGAGCAGAAACATCACACAAAGGCAGTTTGGAAAAAGAAATCTGTTTTATTCCACTTTGCACAGAGCAGTATAGGAAGGTGGCTATCCCCTGACTCCAGACATCTCTTACACAAAATGCCCCCTCAAATATGCCCAGTTGTGCACCCCACTTCAGTCTTGGAGAATGAGCAGAGAGTGGGTGAGGCAGAACCCTAAGTCTCAGGAAGAGGTTTTTTGAGATGTTTTCCTGGCAAGTTTTGGGTCAAGGGAAAAGATTAGACTCAAAAGTGGGTGTTCCATCCTCCATCTCCCTGGGAAATCCACATCCTGAAGGTTTTCTGAAGAGAGGTATCTCTCGCAGGGACCTAGAGAGGGAAAGAGCCCAGACCGACTGCCCGGAGAGAAGGCTGAGGCGGAGAGGATAGGGTTAAGCGGCGGAGACTGCAGGCCCAAGGAGACTGCAGGCCCAAGGCAGGGGAGTGAAAGCATGTGGGGGAGCAAACAGGACTGAGAGAGCCCAGAGGCCCAAGCCATAAATTCCACCCCCTCCCCAGTTCTGAGCAGAAACTCTTCCTCCCAAGACTAGAACAGAGTTTTGGTTCAGGGACTGGCTTTCCTCCAGGGTACAGAGGACAAGCCAGGCAAACGTCCCCGGGGAGGGAAGGTAGAGTTAAGGTATGGGACCAAGAAATGGACACTCCCACAGCGAACACGCAGACCACAGCAGTTTTGAAGCTATAAGCCAGAATCAGGGTAAAGACTGCAGCTGTGACTGAAATACAGAATTTTATAAGCCCTATCCAGTAAAATTTAAATAACTTCTTACCCTGCCTTTGAGCTGTTCCAATCTTTTTTTCCAAGACTGGAGGATGGGGCAGGAAGAAGGGATGGTAGAAAATGCTGAGGCTAGTAAAGGGGGCTGTGGCTGAGACCAGATACACCTATCCCAACCCCCCCATTCATTCTATAGAAAAGATCTCCCTCTCCCGCCCCTTGCTGGACATGTGGACGGTTGGGATGAAGGCTGAATAAAAGTAGAGGGAGAAAAACACTCAGCACATTCTTTCTCCTGCTTTGATCTGACGTGTAGCTGCGGCAAAGGGCACAGAAGTGAAGAAAATATGCGGGGTAGGAGGACATGGGAGCATAATCCAGCCTAGAAAGGAAGAGGTGCTTCTGCTGCCCTGCACCCACATCTCCTGGGAGCTTTATTCCCTTAACTGTAAAAGAAAAGAGAGGGGGGGGGGGGGGAGAATGGGAAGCGCCTAGAGGTTTGGGGGCAGCAACCACAGACAGGATGGTGATTTAAGGATCCCTTGTGATCCCCGAGATGATCCTGAGAGCATCAGTTGGGGAACTGGATGAGAAGTCTCGGCAGACATGTGGATTTTTTGAGGGGGTGAGGAGCCAGGAAGAGTGGGGTCTTCACCGAAGAAGTGACCACTTGATCTGTTCTTTGGCTGACTGCAGCACCTGCAGGGACAAGGGCAGCATTGAGGGGCTTGCTGGGGGTAGGGTGGGGATGGGGACGGGGCTTTCTTTCCCCTCACTTGCCTTCCCTGTCCTTAGAAGAATGGCAAGGAGAAAATCCCCAAAGGTAGAAGAATGGGAAGAAGCTCTCTAAGGCCCTAGAAGATTGTCAATTTGAGAAATTGCAAAAAATTTCAAATCCATTAGGAGGATGAAGAGAGAAGAGGTATACCTGGGAGGAAAGAAAAAAACTGGGGGTTACTGGACATATGTTCAAAGGGTTGTTTATGTGCTACCACACCCAGATGGACTTCTTAGTGAGAATTCCAAATGGGTAGAAAACAGAATCTCTCCCTTACTCCCCCCATCAGGTAGACAAATCTATTTGCAAAGGAGCAGGATGGATCTGTAAAACCTGCATATTCTAGAATATGCATTTCCAACTTAGCCCTCATTTGAATAATAAGAGAGAGAGATTGTGTGTGTGTACACATACCGACCATCTGCTTAAGGCAAGCCTCTGCCGAGGAATAAATCACTGAATGAAGCATCAGGCAGTGAGGGTTTGAAGGGTACACGCCAAGGCTAACAGCCACTGCTCACAGGGAACTGGGGTGGAAGCTGGGGTGGGGTAGGAGAATTTGGCTGTGTGAATTCCAATTCTCTAGAATATGAGGGAGTCCAGGAAGATGTGCCTTCAATTTTTACTTTCATTCAGACTTTGTGGAATGCTATTCTAGCCTCTTTAGTGATCCAGTCCATTGGAAGAAAGGAAAAAGTCATACCTGAGACACGGTCTGCTCTGTAAGGGGGACATCTTCACCCTACAACACAGAGGAAACGGCATTTAGCGTGAGAGAAAGCTGGAGCAAGACCTGATTGACGTTTGCTACTGGACAAGGAAGCAATGGTCCTTTAAACAGAAGCAAAGGGCAAATACCTTAAATTTCTCAGTCCTTCCTAGGGACTAGCATAACCACGATTTTACTTGGCCAGGGGGACTGTGAGCAAAAAATGGTCCTTTCATCCATCCTCTATTTTAAGGCAGGAGGACTTCTTAAAAGATTTATTCAATTCCAAGTCATTAGCAGGTTATGTGATCCACAACTTAGGAGGACCTGATTCCCTAATCAGAGAAGACCTTCCCTGAATATCAATATCACTAGGGAAAGGATGAGGGGGAGCCAGGGATAGTTTAATGGATCCTGCAAGGACTGATGGGTAACGGCAGCATGTTAATTTGAAGAAATAAACTGCTGCAACAGCAGCCTGAGAAGGAGAAGGAGGGAGTTGGTGGGGGGGGCCCTCTCTCTTGCCACATAGAGACATATGTTAGAGGAGAAGATTAAACTATGCAAATGGAGCCCACGGCAGTTAAGGGAAAAGATTTCCCATTACCCAGCACTGTCAGCCTTCACTCTGTGGAGGTCAGAGATGGGACATTCTGTGAATGGGAAGATGTGCTTTGCTCAGACATCTCTGCACCCCCACAATTTCCTGGTGGACTCTCTCTGCACCCATCATTACCTCCCCAGCACACCTGGAGCCTTCTATGGTTAATTCAGAGTCCCCTTTCTGCTATCGCTAGCACCAAAGAGGACAGGTTCTAGCAAATAAGTATTTCCTGATGAAGAGGTGTTATCCTCATTCTATAAGACCTTAAAAGACAAGGAAGACTCTCTTCAAATGACTGTGATCCACCCCAAAGGAAGAGTAAACCAACTTCAAGTTCCTTTATAGTTTCAGGACCAGCAATATTAAAATCCCTATTTCATCAGTGATTCAGTGAGTATGTATTAAATGTGCACTCTACACAAAGACCATTTGAGGTGCTAGGTACCAGGTTAGGGGCAGAAATAACATTCCTCTGCTTGCCTTCTTTGGGACAGTGAGACTTTGAAAAAGGAGAAGACTGTATATATTCTACAAGCCCAGACCCTTAGATACCCTCTGCAAATCTGGCCCTGGGAAGTGAGCAGATGGAGGAATAGAGAGGAACACTCCTGCTTACCCTTAATGCCACTCGGTGTACCACTTGCTGGGGATCGCTCTCCAGGATCACCCTACAAAGACAGAGACCTTCGTTCACTCTCCTGAGGGACCAACTCACTGTGGAGATGGTTTGGCCACTCAGACCACTTGCCTTAGGATAGGGCAGTTACCAACCGACCCCCAACACACACACACACACACACACACACACACACACACACACACACGGCAGTTACCAACTGCCCCCAACACACACACACACACACACACACACACACACACGGTCCAGGGAGCTCCAGGCAAGTCGGAGAGAACTCACCCTCCATCTACGATTTCATCCACTGCCAAGAAGAGCCCCTCCATGTTCTCCAGCAGAGCTCGCTTCTCTACATTCTTCCTGCGTCCCCAAGAAAAAAGAAAAACAAGCCCATGTGTGAAAGGAATCCTAGGACATTGTCCGAGTTGGAATCCTGCACTAAACCAATAAATGTTTTCACCAACCACACAAAGAAGTAAGGTAAATAAGAACTTTTTAGCTAATCCACTCCAAATCCCTTCCTACTTTTTTTTTTTCTGAGAAAGGATCAAGAATGTCAGGAAAGAGATTTAAAAAATAATTAATTTCCGACTAGTCAAGGGTTGATTATCCAGAGCTATTGTTTCTTTCCTACCTGCCACAATGCTGCTCATGATATTGCTCATAAATGCTGACATCAGTGGGTGGAAAAAAGGAAATAAACAGAGCTAAAACTCAATCTAGTGGTGGCGGGAGGCGGGGAGGGGTTGAGTGCAAACTCTATTTGCACTCAAGCTCTGACAAGCCTTCTAAGCCTCTCTCTACTGCTTTTCCTCTTCCTCCCCCTTTCCGCCTCCCCCCACAGCTCTGCTCAGGTCTTGAAAAGAAGCCCAACAAGGAGGTTGGGAACAGTCAGGGCCGCAGCATCCACCAGCCTCAGATCCGGTGGTTAGTGCTTGTGGCCAGTCACATCCGTCAGTTTGACTCTTTCACTAGATTACCCGAAATGAAGTCTTTCATTCACCTGGCTAAGAAATAAATCATCCCCTTCCTGAGGAAATCTGAGCCATTCACCCTGCTGATTTTGTGAGGCTGAGAATGCCTGCTGTTCTTCTCCGGACGGCTGTCTGTGCTGGGTTCACTTGGGAGCCGCTGGGGGAACTAAATTCAGAGCCCTATATATTTTCAGGAGGAGTATCTTACATGGGGAACAGAGGACTGGGGGAGTGATGGAAGGGGAGAAGAGGGTATTGGCACATTCATCCTGTTCTACAGAAGGGAAAAAACTAAGGGCTAAAGTGGAAAATTGGGAGCGTTGACTCCATTCCCAAAGTATTGAGATGTTTTATCTGGGACATTTCCCTATGCTTGCCCCTTTCTGATCTCTAATGTAAAGAATGAAGCCTAGGAAAGCATTTTAAGGGTGCTTTGACAGAGCCACTGGGGAATAGAGTAGTCACAGAGGAGAAGATTCTGCTCCCTTACAATCCCCTTTTTCTTGGGAGGATTATCCCAGAGGGACATACTCTCCATTCTTCCAGTCTTCCCCAACAGTGTGAATTACTTTGAAATAATAAGCCCAACTTCTGAAGGTAAATCAGCTCTCTGGAGCCTCTGCTGATTCCCCACAAATCCCTGGGCCTAAAGAATAGTTACTTTCTCTCCCAAACACATGTCAAGAATGGACTGCTCACCTCAGCATCTGGCTCAATGAGTCAAAGAGGCAGTTCAGAACAGCCATGAGCATCAGCTGTTGGGAGACAGAAAAAGCAGAAGGATAAGGTTTGAGACTCTCCAAGCTGCTACTTAAAAATAAAACCCTCAAATTGGTTAAGCATCAAAAGACAAAGGCTTTCAAAAGGACCAAAAGCATAAGGTGGAAGTGAGAGCAAAACAGAAAGAGGACCTGTGGTTTCTCCTAACAGAAATAAATTCTGCCACATGATCATACAATTTGATGTCTCTCTTTGACCAGACGGTTCAAACAGAACTTTCCTGTCATAATCCTCTACATCAAGCATGTCAAACTCGCAGCCCACTGGCTGTGAGTTTGGCATGCTTGCTCTACATGTATTTACCAACTGTATACATTATCTGATATCTTAGATAGAGAAATAATGAACCAGGAAATAGCTGAGATCAGAGAGTTGGTCAAAAGAGCATGGGCTTTGAAGTCAGACAAATCTGGGATTAAATTCCAGCTGAGCCATTTTCTACATGTGTAACCCTGGGAAAATTAGGTTGAACCACATAAAACTGCCACTTTTGTAGTTCAGCAGTGGTTAAAGACTAGTAATTTCAAATGGTTCTTCATAAACAAAACAAGGGCACCAATGCCTATAACTCAAAGAAGTGCTGTAAGGTTTCAATAACAATGTACTTTACAAAATACTTACAGCAATAAGAGATCAGTAAGAGTTGGTTCTCTCAAACTTAATTTTGCCTCAAATTATGTGGGAGCTTATTTTTACTTATCTATTCTCCTTCCTAGAACTTATTATCTGAGGTAAACAGTTTTTCCTGTGCAGAGGAAGCAGGTTAGGACTACATCCAATCTTCTCAAGTATACAAGTCTCAAGGTCTAAAGCCATTCAGAATGTATAGCTTCAACATGACCCAAAATGTGGGCTAATTGATCCAAACTCAGTCAGGTGTGGAATCTTCATAGGAGGAGCAAGCATCCCCCAACCTATATCAGAAATCCATCTTAAAACACATTACTCATTCAGCCTAGCTGGTTTGGTTCAGTAGTTGAGCATCAACCCATGAAACAAGAGGTTACTGGTTTGATTCCAGGTTATAGGCTTGATCCCCAGTAGGGGGTGTGTGGGAGGCAGCCAATGGTTTTCTCTCATCATTGATGTTTCTCTCTCTCCCTCTCCCTTCCTCTCTGAGATCAATTTTAAAAAATA